GTGACATGGCTCTCACTCATTCACCCCGTTCGTTCATCATCATTCACGGTCATCAATTTCACCGATTTCACGCAGCGTCACAGATTCTCCCCCATGGCTTCCTCTCATCGATTGCATTCACCCCATCTCCACCATCACACCCACACGCGTCGTCGTCGTTGTTGTGCCGTAGTTCATTCTTTGTAAAGCGCCTCGGTTCAGACGCGATATGATTTCCGTTAAGATGGTCAAGTGTAATAGGGTTTCTCCGCAAATCTGTCTGTCCGCCCGATGATGCTCGTTATAATTACTGGCGAAACGTCGTACTCGAATTCTGAATGTTGTATAGGGGTTTACTCTCCAACACACATTGTGTGCTGAACTAGTAACGAATCGGCACGTTTGCTCTACGTGACAAACCTTACTGATTGGTCGTGTCGGTTGGCGGCAGCTTTAACGACATTCACATTTCCGCGATCCAACCCAAAGCACCACTCTTATTGCAGACTAGCTTCACTACCCGAGACTTGGATTCTTGTCTTGGATTAATACACGGCCGACGCGGAGGGTGGGGGGGGGGTGACGTCAGCAGGCACACTGCGTGACGTCAGCAGGCGCACTGAGTGACGTCAGCAGGCGCACTGCGTGACGTCAGCAGGCACACTGCGTGACGCTGCCGCATGCGGGTGACATCAGAGATGAGACGTCACCGCTCACTTGCCGTGCAAAATATATCCATTATTGCGCCGGCCCCCCCCCCCCCAAAACACAAAAGTCTATTTTTATACTTTTTGCATTGTGTACAGTCTGGAAGCTACCCACATGCCAAATTTCAAGTTTGTTGCATGTCGGGAAGTATTCCTAAACACACATATTCACAAATTTCACACAGCAGTTGACGGACACAGCAGTTGACGTTGGTGAAGAACCAGTGGCACCTGGTGGGATGGCGGCGCACACAGTTGCAGCAGCTCAGTGTCTACCCGGTCGGTGCCTTGTATGGTTGTTTATGTTCGCGTTATGTCTTGTTTTGTGTTCATTTTGTCGGGCGAGTAACATCTTTAGCCGGCACGATCTCCTTAAGATCGGACTATGTTACGATCGGAGTGTTACAAGCGAGTTTCACCGTCTTCACAAGATTCCAGTGGAGTTAGCGAGGAGGCCCGGCTCTCCGTGGATTATCATCCCGGCGGGGAGGAGGCGAAGGCGGCGTAGAGAGAGAAGACGGAGGCGAGGCTGCAGGGCCGGTGCGCTAGCCAGGCTACGGAGGCAGCCACTCAAACCACCGCTACCCAGCCTATTTCTCACGAACGCCAGATCCATCGCGAACAAAATGGATGAATTGAGGCTACAGACTACAGCGAGCAACGTAGTGAAGGACAACTGCATTCTGCTTTTCACAGAAACTTGGCTTCATTCATCCATCCCGGACTCTGCTATTGAGCTTGCAGGCTACACAGCACAGCGCCAGGACAGAACAGTAGACTCTGGTAAGAGCAGAGGAGGGGGGCTCTGTGTGTACGTGAATAAGAGCTGGTGTACTAACACTGTGACTGTAGACAGCCACTGCTCCCCAGATCTGGAGTATGTGACTGTTAAATGCAGGCCGATTTACCTCCCAAGAGAGTTTACTGTGGTCATGATAACTGCTGTTTACATCCCACCGGATGCTAATGCTAACTCAGCTATTGGACTTTTACATGGCAGCATTAGCATTCAGCAGAGCAAGTATCCTGACGCTGTGCTGATTATAGCAGGGGATTTCAACCATGCAGACTTAAAAGCAGCACTCCCTAAATTCCACCAGCATGTTAAGTGTGCTACTAGGGGAACTAAGATTCTGGACAAGGTCTACACCAACATCAAACTAGGCTACAGGGCTAGACCACTACCGCACGTGGGCCAGTCTGACCATTTGTCCCTGCTTTTGATCCCTGCATACGCCCCCATCAAGAAAACGGCTCCTACCATCACAAAAACTGTCGCCATCTGGCCTGAGGGTGCCACCCAGCAGCTGCAGGACTGCTTTGATAGGACCGACTGGGGGGTCTTCGAACATCAGGACCTGGAGGTGTTCACATATAGTGTATTGTGCTACATTAAAAACTGCATAGACACTGTCACTGTGGACAAACGCGTTCGGGTTTACCCCAACCAGAAGCCCTGGATGACCCGGGAGGTCCAGCAACTGCTGAAGGAGAGGAATATCGCCTTCAACTCCGGAGACAAAGCTCCCTACAGTACAGCCCGAACTAACCTGAAGAGAGGCATCCGCAAGGCCAAAGCAGACTACAGGAGGAGGATTGAGGAACGCCTGGACAGTCACGACAGCAGGCAGATGTGGCAGGGAGTCCAGCACCTCACCAACTACAGGGCCAACCGCGGAGCTGCTGATGGTGACAACGCTCTGGCAGAGGAATTGAACCTCTTCTTTACCCGCTTTGAGGTGACACCACAAGGGACAGCATCACCAAACCTCACGGTCCACAGCAGCTTAAACCTCACAGTGGAGGAGCATGAGGTGAGGCGCACGCTGCGAGCCGTCAACCCGAGGAAGGCTGCGGGACCTGATGGCGTCCCGGGACGTGTGCTGAGGGACTGTGCTGACGAGCTGGCTGGAGTCTTCACAAGGATTTTCAACCTGTCTCTGGAACAGTCCACCGTACCAACCTGCCTAAAGTCCTCCACCATAGTCCCGCTGCCCAAAAAAAACCACATTTGCAGCTACAACGACTACCGGCCAGTAGCACTCACGCCAGTGGTGATGAAGTGCTTTGAAAAACTGGTCCGGAGTCACATCATAGGAAGCTTGCCCCGAAACCTTGACCCCCACCAGTTTGCCTACAGAGCGAACCGATCCACGGAGGACGCCGTGGCCACAGCACTACATGCTGCACTGTCACACCTGGAGCAGCAGGGGAGCTATGTGCGGATGCTCTTCGTGGATTACAGTTCCGCGTTCAACACCATCCTCCCACACAAACTGGTGGGAAAACTGGGCGACCTGGGGATTCCACATTCCACCTGCATGTGGATATATAGTTTCCTCTCGGGCCGCAGACAGAGGGTCAGAGTGGGCCGTCATACATCCACAGCCCTGAGCCTCAGTACCGGCTCCCCCCAGGGCTGTGTACTGAGCCCCCTGCTCTACTCCCTCTACACACATGACTGTGCCGCCGTCCACCATAGCAACACCATTGTGAAGTTTGCTGATGACACCACAGTTGTGGGGCTCATCTCTGGGGGGGATGAGTCTGCCTACAGGGACGAGGTGGAGCGGCTGACAGCATACTGCAGGGGCAACAACCTGCTCCTTAACACCGCAAAGACCAAGGAGCTCATAATAGACTACAGGAGAAAGAAAACGGACACTCCACCACTAATCATCAGCGGGGACTGTGTGGAGAGGGTGGCAGACTTCTGCTTCCTGGGAGTCCACATTGGGGAGGGCCTGACCTGGAGCGCCAACAGCACTGAGCTTCTGAAAAAGGCCCAGCAGAGACTTTATTTCCTGAGAATTCTCAGGAATAATAACATCACACAGGAACTGCTGGTGTCCTTCTACCGAGCCTCCATCGAGAGCATTCTTACATACTGCATCTGTGTATGGTACACCAGCTGCACAGTGGCTCAGAGGAAAGCGCTCCAGAGGGTCATCAACACAGCCCAAAAGATCGCCGGCTGCCATCTCCCCACACTGGAAGCACTACACAGTTCACGTTGCATCAAAAAAGCACAGAACATTATAAAGGACTCTTCTCACCCTGGACACTCACTGTTTGAGCTGTTGCCATCAGGCAGACGATTCAGATCAGTCAAAACAAGGACAAACAGATTCAAACAGAGCTTTTATCCTACAGCGATCACCACACTCAATAATGCTAATTAATTATTAAGTAATAGCGTTTACAATTGACTGTGAAATAGAGATGTGCAATGACAAAATGTAACCTTATGTGGGTATGTGGGTATACTTGGGCTGTTTATATATATAGTATAAATTGATTATCTTTCATTTAATTTTATTTGTATTTTCTTGTTTTATTTAATTTAAATTTATGAATGAGGCCCTGACTGGTGAGCATTTTAAATTTCGTTGTACTGGTGACAATGACAATAAACGATCTATCTATTTCCCTTGTATATTTCTAGATGTAATAGTTCTGGTTTGGAGGCGTCGAGGGGTGGAGGGAGGGCTCCACACGGTGGGATTTGTCCCGAGGCCCCCTAGGGACGGCCCCGGCCACACTCATCGGACACTTGGCAGACTTGTTAAGAGCGCTCGGGCACCGACGTCACCGCGCGGGCCTCTCCGCCCAGAGGCCACGCGGTCCAAGTCAGCGCTTGAGCGGGGAGGCTGCCCAATGGATAAAACTGTCACCGATTTCGGGATGTGGAATTTCCACCGCTGGTGCAGGGGTTCATCACACACAGAGAGGAGTGGTGTCACTCCCAAAGGTGGTGTTCATGAGCGAGGGACTTTGACTGGACCGTTCCAGTTGCCAATCTCGTTTCACTGTTGCACTCGTTAGCCCAGGAGTCTCGGCATTCTTTTCACAGGAGGGTCCCTGCCAAGTTTTCGCTGCAGGGGTGGGTGACCATTTCTGCTCTGTGTGTGTATGTGTGATATCCCAATGCAGTTTTTTGTTGCAAATTTGGTTCGATGACTCCGGCACGCCCTACTCTCCGGCGACCCTGAAACGTCCAGGAGCGAAAGCAAGACGGCCACGTAGCGGCATCTTCACAGTCGGCGTGCACCGCGAGATTAACCGGGGGCGGCCACCGATTTCGAACCGCCGAAGGATCGGCGACAAGCGGTGAACCGCGCCGCCGCCGGCGACGGCGCCACCGCCAAAAACAACCCGTCCGGTGGGAAGACGTGACGACGACGAGTGAGCGCGCGCGGTTTTCTAACACAGCTGTACTCGGCAACATCGATGAGACCGCGTTACAGAGAGTGCTACATGTTTTATTCACCTATATACACACACAGAATCAGTTACGACGTTGAATTGGACCGCGTAAGATGAGGGGGGAAGTAACAGGGGGGGGGGGGGGGGTCCCACCAGGTACGTTTCACGCACGGTTCAGAGAAGAGATTCCCACTTGGGCGGTGGACACATCTCACCGTCACCGCGGAATGGCACAAAAAGGGAAATGGTAATTAAATCGCAAAAACAAATAGTCGTGCTTGACCAATTCCTGGGTGTTTCAATGAAGAAGTAGGAGAAACAAGACTGACGGTCTGGTATCCGAACGAAAACGCGCTTGTTGCGCAGGTGGAGGAAATTGTTTGAGCTCTGAGAATCAATGGTTGTGGTTGTTGTTGTTGTTTACATAACGGATCGTCTCAAGGGTTGTTTTAAGCAGGGCGGACGGCTCGCGCTGGCACGGCCTTATCTCCCACCACCACCACGGGGACTCCCTCGACAGCTCCAGCACTCAACACGGCAGCCTCGAACTCCAGCAGCAGCAGCGCTTCTTATCCCCTTGCAGGCTGCGGCACGGACACGGCGTGGACACCGTGCAGGAGAAACTTGTTCGAATGTTGTCCCCCTCCCCCCTCGCCACACCGGTGCCACTTTCTTTTTGCGGTGACGAAACGCACGGAGAGACACAGCGAGAACCACGCGTCGAACACAAATGAACACGAATACAGCAAATGTCAAAACACATGCCTTACTAACACGAGACTAGCACCGATACGCAAGGCTGGGGGGGGGGGGGGGAGATGCCTTGCTAGCGAACGCCGCGTTGACTGGAGGCATAGACATTTGACCTCCATCGATCGTGGCCTTCGTAGCGTGAGTCGTGGTTTTTGGGCTAGGAGGTGGGCGGTGGGGGCACAGCAGAGGTCGCAATCGGGTACCCGATACCCGTACCCTACCCGATACCCGGCTACCCGTACCCGGCCGGGTACGGGTAGCCGTTTGCGACCCTGGTGCGGCCGGGTACGGGTAAGGAATCAAAACCCGTTTGCGACCTCTGGGGCACAGAAACCATGAGAACCACTGCCCCACAGCGCCACCTCCAGCAGGCCACGTGGCGGAGCGTCGCCGTTGGTGAAGTCGCGCCCTGCGCCACCTTACACCGACCTCCATTTCAATGTAGATGATTTAAAAGCTGTGTGCTTTTAAGCCGTCTAGATTGAAAACTCATTTCTTTAGAGCTGCTTTTTTCTGTTTCATTGTTGTCCTTCTCCTGCACCTCCGATTAGCACGGTTGGCTACGTACGGTGTGAAAGAAGTTCAACATACATCGACTCACAAAGACATCCATAGGATTACCACACACAGACCCATCGTACGTGTAGCTTTAGCCGTGCACGGCAACTGGACCTTTAAGCCGTGGTCCACGCGTCCATTGCTGACAGCACCAAACCAAATCGAAGATTTGACAAAAGACTCAAACGCATCCGTTTATAACAATGTGACCCGAAAAGAAAAACTATATATAATGGGCAACGTTTTGGGCAATGGACCTTATCCATAGCACACAAACAAGCCAGAGAGACCGAGCGAATGTGAACTGAAGACACGGGACCCTGCCAAGAAATCACATTTTTAAGAATGTTTCAAGTATGAGCAATCTCAAATTGGCACACGATCGGTTGCCCATTCGTAGATAGCGAGTGACAAGTGAAGAATGTAAAATGATCAATTGGAAATAGGTTCATCTATTCAGGGCCACAGTGTTGTTGACGAATGTGTCCGAGTTTTCATTTGTGCTGCAACATCAGAAACGATGCGTTGAATATAATGTTTAGATCGTTGATAGTCGATCGGTTGTTACTCATTGTACAAGGCTGCACATTGTTCCTCGGAAATGTCTGACCCTATACCCCGACTGGACACCTGTGGAAAAAGAGCTTCATAGCTCATCAGATTTATCCAGGATAAACAAAGATTCTGATTCTGAAGTGACCGTCCACGTGTATCGGAGCGAAAGGCAGTGAGGCGACGCTGTAAACCCGTCGCCTCCGTGTTTAGCGTGGTTGGCTACGTAGGGCGTGAAAATAGTTCAACATATGTACGTACGTACGTGTGTGTCAGCACCTGAGTTTCCATCAGACGCTCGTGAGAAGGAAGACCCAGCCCCCTGAAAACAGCGAACGGTTTTGTGTTTGAAGATGCAGCTCCAGGCTACGTCTCCCGTCGCGAATGAGAAATCAGCGTGAAAAGGCTCACCGGTGGGTTGCCATTCTGCCCTCTAGTGACATCGTCGGGGTCAGGTCGCGTCAAAGGGTGACCTTCCCGCTCGAATGAGCATCGAGGCGTTGGTGCCCGCAGCTCCTGTTCACAGTCCTGCAGGGCCGCTGTTGACTTCCCAACAAAGTTGCCCAAATGTTATCGATCCCCGGAGGTACGATGGGCTGTGGCAACCCCCAAGCAGGATTTGAACTCGTAACCTTTTTTTATTGCGAGCCCGCTCGCAATCGCCAGAATGCACATCGTCATCCCCCAGCGCCGTGTCTGCACGGCGACACACGACGGTCGGTCCAAAACTAGTTCTGGGACTACTTTCGGTTTGAGACAAAACTAAAGGACGAACGCTGTGCTCGGCCAGAGATTTCTGCATGGACGGCGCTCGATGCGACGGCACGATGTCCCGATGCAAAACATCCACGTGCCCGACTCCCATTGTTCAGGCCGTTTTCGTCGAACTGCGTCCCTTCGGCGCATTCGGAACGGCCAAATAAAACAACCCGATTCGCTGCCTTGACCCCCGTGGAATGGCCAACTCACGGTGCAACACCTTGACTGTCAGAGAAGGCAGTCGACATCGTCTTGACATTCGAGCTCGCCTGTCTTGGCTTTCTATCGTCGAGGTGACGGCAGGATCCTCTGCCGAGATGACCCCACGGTCTGCCTCGTCTTGGGATCATAGAAATTAACCAAAACCTCATCACCTCGCCTACTCACTCACCTACTCGGTCACTCGCTCACCCACTCAGTCACTCGCTCGATCACTCACTCACTCACTTGCCCACCCACTCACCTACTCACTCGCTCACTCCCTCGCTCACCCACTCGCTCACTCAACCACTCACCCATGTACTTGCTCACCACTCGCTCACCCACTCACTCACTCGCTCGCTCACCCAGTCACTTGCTCATTCAGTCACTCGTTCACCCAGTCACCCGCTCACACACTCACTCGCTTGCCCACTCACTCACTCACTTGCTCACCCACTTGCTCATTCAACCACTCACTCAAGTCACTCGCTCACCCACTCAACCACTCGCTGTCCTGCTTTCTTTGATCGAGGTGACGTCGTCATCCATGGAGATGACACGACGCTCCGTCTCAGGATAGAAGCCATGAACCTAAGTCTCATCACCTCACCCATTCACTCACTCGCTCACCCACTTGCTCACTCACTCACCCACTCGCTTACCCACTCACTCACTCGCTCACCCACTCGTTCACCCACATACTCACTCACCCACTCGCTTATCCACTCACTCACTCGCTCACCCACTTACTCACTCGCTCACTCGCTCACCCACTCGCTCACTCACCCATTTGCTCACCCACTCACTCACCCATGCGCTGTCCTACTTTCTTTGGTCGAGATGACGACGGCGTCCTCCACCGAGATGACCGTTTCGGGATAGAAGCCATGAACCCAAGCCTCATCGCCTGGTTCCTCATCCCACTGTATTCACCAGATTTGGCACCAAATTATTTTTTTTCCCCCGTTCCCTAGATTGAAACGCACACCCTAACGGAAAGCGCATTTCAAGACGTTCCCAACCAGTCATCCAAAATGTAACTGGGGAACTGAAAGCCACCGCCTGTACCAGGGATGCATCGACACATAGCAGGACCGCTGGAATCACCGTGCTCGATCAGGAGGAGACTGATTTGAAGGAGATTAATTTGATTCGGTATGTCGTCCTTTAATTTTGTCTGAACAAAAGTAGTCTTGGTACTTCTTCATCAATCCTCGTACGCTGCCGTACAAGGCACATGCAGACGATTTGAGTCAAGAGCAGTGTAAGCAAGTTGGACGCACTGCAAATTGTCAATACGTCTACGAGCGCTTACAAGTTGCCGGCATCCTCGCGATCCGCAGTGGCGCGTGGATGCCAAACAGCAGATCCACGCTTAAGATAATCTAACACGAACGAAACCTTTAAGTCTATAAGTGCGTTGCTATTAGGGACTTTTACCCTGTAGGAAACTGGTCAAGTCCAAAGGGTTGGCCAAAATCTTGGCAAGGAAAAAAAACGGCGTTTCGAATGTAACGTGGTGAGCTTGTAATCGCCAGTTATGAAACTTCCCATGAGAAAAAGCGTGCTGGAAAAGATTACGGAATCCGTGCACGCGTGATTTTTCCTCCTCGCCTATTTACTTAATTGCATGTAAAACTGCCACGAATCGACGGCCCCTTTGAAATTGCCGGGCCGAGTCTTGCCATGAGCGTGAACCTGCACCTCCGATTAGCACGATTGGCTACGTACGGTGCGAAAGAAGTTCAACATACATAGACAGAGCATGACGAGAGGATCCGACCAGTCTGACATGAAATATATCAGTTGAACAGCATTCATGTTGTTTCAAAACTACATAAAGACGTATGAGAGGGGTTATGGGGTTTTTTTTTGTATAAAGATATATTTTAACTTGGCGTTAGATGGATCACATAGTAAACCACTGGAGTTTGCGTTCCTTCAACGGAGGAGGAACAGCGAAACTACACAAACTCTTAACTCGTGAAGCCCTCTCGCCGTGCCCAGCACGACAATGGCATGGAGCTCCTGAAACGCATCGCCGCTGCCATCGCAATGCGCAAGACTGGAATAAATAGAATTTACACGCACGGGTTTAGTGACGTCGGCGGTATTATTCTACCGTAAAAGAACGAGCGAATCAAGGTCGGGCAGTCTCGTCTGCGGCAGAGCCCAAGCCATCAAACTCATCGCCGACGAGTGCACCAACCCGTCATCGCAGCAATCCACACAGCGTCTACTGCCGCCTCGGATCGCTTGAGGGACCTCAACGTTCAACGATGACATCATCTGCACAAACTGTCGCCGACGTGCCAGCTGGAAAGGACGTCGACGGGGCTGGGTTGGCGGCAGAGGGAGGCGGCTCGCAACCGTAAGGTCGAGGGTTCAAATGCTGGCTGGGCAGGGTTGACCCGGCCCATCCTCCCCCCCCACCCGGGAGGATCGATAAAGCCGTGTCTATTCACAGGGCAACGGCGGATATGGACTTGCCTTCGCCGTAGAAATGTGTGTACGCATTTCCACCACCGCCGTCTCGGCGCTGTAAATGGGAGATTAGCACCATTTCCATCGCTCGTTCGGAGCAGGAATCGTCGACGTTTTTATTTTTTTGGACTGTACCAAAAAACAAAAAGGGCCCTTGGGTGATTTTGAATTTCGTTTTTCTTTCGTGGAGCTGTGCGCCTGCGCTAGGCAGGCTGGGACATCACAGGCAGCGCGTGTAAACCATAAACTATTTTTTATTTTATCAGGTAAGGCCCACTGAGCTATACAGCTCTTTTTTGGAAGCGACCTGGCTATCACAAATAATATGTCAACGAAGTGGCCTACTCTGATAAACGCGTGACGTTTGATTCTAAATGTGGAGGGAAAAACCGGAGGACCTGGAGAAAAATCCACACGGCCACGGGGAGAACGTGCAAACTCCAAATAAAGAGCAGGCATCGTCGGGGTCGGGATTGAACCCACGACCTCCTGCACGTTTAACACGTAGGCTTTCGTGACCGATAATATTCATACGGTTTCTTGGGTTAGATGGTGTAATGTGTCGTGAACCCACCACCATCCGATACAGTCAATTAGCAAGGTTTTTCACGCAAACAAAACATGCCAATTATAATTATCAGTTCAGCACACCGGTGTGTAGGAGAGTAAACCCACAACATTTACAATTTGAGTACTACGTATCGCTGGTGATTACACCAGGTGATTTTCCAGAGTAAGGTGATGTCGAGTGGTGGTGGGGTTAACGACGCATTTATATTTGCGTCATAAAACCAAAAAAACCCTTTACGATGGACCTCCTGTGTACCAGGTGAGGTAGTTAACATCTCGCCACTGTGACGCCCTACAAGACGAGAGCCGTCCGCTTCCCGGGGCACGTGTCTCTCTCTCTCTGTCTCTGTCTCTCTCTCTCTGTCTTGCTGTCTCTCTCTCTCTGTCTCTCTCTCGCTGTCTCGCTCTCTGTCTCTCTCTCTCTGTCTCTCTCTCTGTCTCTCTCTCTGTCTCTCTCTCTCTGTCTCTCTCGCTGTCGCCCGCCCGCTTCCTCCCGCTAGGACAGCAGCGTCCAGAGCTCGCGCGGCTCCAGCCAGGGCCCGCCGCTCTCCACCGGCCGGTCCCTGCGCGCTTCCGCGTTCTGCTGCTTCAGCAGCCACGAGCGCACCAGCGGCCTGGCGTCGAACCACTCCAGCGGGGGGCCATTGCACTTGATCCAGAGCAGGTTGGCCAGGTGCTCATCGCCGTCCTCATCCAGGTCATCCTCGTACTCGTCGTCGTCGACGTCATCGTCGTCGTCGACCTTTTCTTCTTTGACGATGCCATAAATCCGGTGGTTCTGCTTGCGGTTCCAGCGGCGCTGCTGCTGCTGGTGACGGTCGAGGAGAGAGTCCGCGCGCTGGCGCGACGCGGCCACGTCGGCGAGCGCGGCGGTGACGCGCGCGCACTCGGCACTGCACGTGGGCAGGGTGGCGATCGCCACCTCCAGCTTGCTCAGCGCGCCGCCCTCCGGCACGGCCGCGCCGCACCGCCGGCTCCGGAACTGCGAGGCGCAGTCGAGCGGCGGCAGGCGCAGCCGCCGGGCGAGGCGCGCCACCTCGTCCTCCTCGAAGGAGGGCGGCCGCTTCCCATCCCCCGCGTTGTCCTCCCCCTGCCGCCGCTTCCACAGCTTGGGGTCGAGCACGGAGACGAGCTCGAACGCGTCGACCGGGAAGCGCGCCATGAGGACGTTGGCGAGCATTTGGTAGAACCGCGCCGTGTCCAGCCCGCCGCCGCCGCCGTCGTCGTCGTCCTCGTCCACCACCACACCCTTGAAGAGGCCGTCGGCCAGCCGCTGCTCGGCCCTGTTCAAAGACTTGCCGCCACCATCCCGCAGGGACGCGACGGCGGCGATGGCGCGACGCACGGCCCAGAGCGCGTCGCACGCGGTGGCGCGCGCGTCCTGCAGTGTGCCGGCCAGCGCACGCAGCTCGCGCAGCGCGTCCTTCGCGGCCGCCAGGTGCCGCACGAACGCGGCGCTCTCGAGACGGGCGCGCAGACGCTGGTACGCCTCCCGCTCGTCGGGCGCGCGCGACGGGTCGGCGGAGGCGCGGGCGAAGTGCGTGTGCAGCGCCGTGTAGCCGCGCCACGCGGCGCGGGCGCACGCGAACGTCGACGCCGCGTGGCGCCCGTCGGCCGGCGTCACGGCGGCGACGCGCGCCACTTCCGCGCCGAAGTCCGGCGCCGCCGCCGCCAGCTCGCCGGCATTCCTCGGCGAGCGCGCGCACAGCTCGGCGGACGCCGTCACCAGCGAGCCGAGCCGGTCGGCGGCGCCGCTCGCCAGCAGGCAGCGCGACGCGTCCCGCTCCAGCCTGTGCGCCACGCAGCCCAGCCACAGCAGGAGGCGCGGGAACGCCTTCTGGAAGTGCGCGCCGATGCCGCGCAGGGCGGGGATGTCGGCCGACGGGCCCTCGCTGGCGCCGGCCAGCAGCCTGTCGTCGAGCGCGGCGCGGCCCAGCTTGTCCTCGAGGCGGCGCACCACGGCGCGCGCCGCCTCCTCGGCGCTCGCGCCGTCGGGGAGGCGCACGAGGTCGAGCAGCGCGTTGTCCACGGACGCCGCGGCGCCGACGCGCGCCCGCACCAGCACGGCGGCGAAGCGGCGGCGCGCGAACGAGCAGCCGTCGACGAGCACCGAGAAGCAGTCGGCGCCGCCCACCAGGTGCGCTGTCAGCTTGGCCTCCATCTCCGCGCGGACGTGCGCGATGATGCGCAGGCAGCCGTGCGTGCCGCCCGCCCGCCCGAGCCGTGCGCCGTCGAGCTCCTGCAGCGCGCAGAGGGAATCGTGCCGGCAGGCGCGCAGGTCCTCCTTGGCCACAAGGTACGCCGTGCGGAAGGCGCGCTCCGTCTCCGAGAACAGCCTGCTTTTGGAGTCCACCACGTGCCTAGGCGGTGGCGGTGCCGGTGCGCGAGGGGCCGGTCGCGTCGTCTCGTGGACGGCGCTAACATAGCTCGCCTGGCGGTGCGCCTTGGTGTCGCGGTGCTCGTACACTTTCTTGCGCAGCTTCTTCTTGTCCTTGGCCCACACCATGCCGGCGCGCCACTCCTTGGCGAGGAAGACCCCCTGCCGCTTGTAGACCACCACGCTCGCCTCCCTGCAGATGGCGCAGCCGATGCCCTCCTGGCTGCGGAACAGCCACTTGGCGCGGCCCTGCCACGCGCGGAACTCGTCGTCCGACCACGGGAAGCACCGTTTCACTGTTGCGCCAGCCTGCTGCTGCTGCTGCGGCTGCTGGTGTTTCTGCTGCTGGTAGTGTTGTTGCTGGTGCTGCTGTTGCCGCCGCTGTTGCGATAACGACGCCGCTTTTGCCACTGCTGTTGCCGTGGCCGTCCTGCTGCTCCTCCGCATGGGCTCACGGCCGACCGCTCCCGGTTTGACATCAGACGCCGATCCCGAACTCTGGGTGCCTTCGTTCGCCATCAGCTCCGCGCCGCCGACGCCGATGCCGCCACCCCCGCCGTCGCTATCCGGCACGAGTTCGAGCTTGACGTCGGCAGGCTCCGGCACGAACTCGAGCTTGACGACCGGCGACAGGGGGCTCGGTGAGAGGTCGTATGGTGGCACGGCGAGGTCGGGCGACCTTTCGGCTTCGCGCCATCTCCCCGAGGACGGGTTTCTGCCGCTGAAGGCGCCTTGAACGTCGCAGATGGACATGTCCAGAGAGGCCGGGCCTGCGGCAGCGTTCAAAGGGCGGCGGACGACTTTGTCCAGTGGCCCCCGGCTGGCCTGTGTGTGTGGAATAAACGTGGGAACACGAGGAGGCGATGGGATGGTAAGGAAAGGGAAGAATGCAACACGGCCTGGCGGTAGCAAGTTCGCTGCTTAGTGCAGCGGTTGGAATCCCGCAGGACGCCCTGGTTATTACTGTGGATGTATTAACTGTAAAAATCCCGTGGATTTTTCTCTGGGTCTTTCCGTTCCCCCCCCCCCCCTCCACATTTAGAATCAACGTGTGTTTAGAGTATTTGGCTGCTGCTATTTAATTTCACGTAACGACAAGCCACTTCGTTGAGCTATCATTTGTGGCCAGGTCGCTTCTGAAAAAGAGCTATACAGCTCAGTAGGCCTTACCTGGCAAAAGAAAAACTAAAATTTGTTTAGTTTAGTTTTTGGTCTGATTTCTATTTACTTTACTGCTGTTTGATTATGTTTAGATTTTTTCCCTTTTGGTGACCCAGGTCACTCTTGCAAATGAAACTCCAATCCTTGGTCTCTTGAGTTCTTCCCCTGGTTAAACATAATAAACTCATTGACCAGTGTTCCTTGGGTCATTCGGTAAAGTCACGTAGATAGGTTCAAAGAAAATAACAAAAATGTTTCGATCGCAACACAAGCGGTCGTCATCATCCCTTTTACTGATGATGATGATCGAATTTTTTGTAATTTTGTTATTTTCTTTGAACCTATCTACGTGACTTTAACGAAAGACCCAAAAAATATGAATTCCTGCAGTGTAGAGTGTTTTGATTTCATTAGTCAAATACTGCCATCTGTGCCTCGAAACGACGATGGCTGTCTCAGAAACTTGGGAGTTAGCGATGTATGTTATCCTGCTGTTATACACAAATTTGGCTGTAAGCCTGATGATGCAAGTTATAATTACTAGCTAAATGTCGTACTCAGATTGTAAATGTTGTGGATTTGCTCTCTATCACACCGGTGTGCTGTACTCGTAATGAATTGGCACGTTTAGTTTACGTGAGAAACCTCACTAATTGGCTGTGTCAGGTGATGGCGGGTTTAACGACACATTTATATTTACGCGCTCTAACCCAAAAAAAACTATATTATGGATTCATACTCTTAGGCTTTTTCGGTAAAGTCACGTAGGTAAAAAATGTAATAAATAGAAGTAATAATAGAAATAAAATAATAAATCACAACGTTTCGGAGGCAACACAAGCTTCCGTCTTCAGGTGGAACCGTCACAGCACGATAGCTGTATCAAGGTCTCTTGGGACTTCTCTCTTTACTTGATACAGCAATTGTGCTGTGACGGTTCCACCTGAAGACGGAAGCTTGTGTTGCCTCCGAAACGTTGTGATTTATTATTTTATTTCTATTATTACTTCTATTAATTTATTTTTTATTTTTTACCTACGTGACTTTACCGAAAAAGTCTAACAGTATGAATCCTTGCAGTCACGTAAGCTTCAAATCTAGAATATATTATGGATGTTATCCTGTTTATTGTTTTTAAACATACGGTCTTTTTTCGTATGCAGGAGGGTTCATGGCTAAAAGGACCAATCTGGCTGTGACACGGATCCTTGCTCAGTGATTGTAGGGGTGTGTGGACACGTTGTTCTGTGTCCCAGTTTGACAGCAGAGGTCTCACTCCGAATAAGTCGAGTGGAATTATCTTTTCATCGGCTGCTTAACGCTGTGTGGAAGCTACCTAGTCCGTCGCTTCACACGAAGCTTCGGGGCTTCTCGACCACGGTCATTCCCTCCCTTCTCTACGCTTGCGAAATGTGGATCTCCCTAATGGAGCATCTCCACCAGTTAGAAACATTTAGCTTGTCCTGCCTACGATCTCTCCTGGGTTTAACCAGGCTGAATTGTGTAAGGAGCTCAGAAATCCTTGAAAGAAATGGACAATCGGTGAGCTCCTCTGGCAGGCAAAGCTGCGGTTGGCTGGGTCATGCACGGCCACCGCATGGCCAAGCAGCTTTTGTTCGGCCGGATAGAGGGGGATAAATGGGAGCGACACGGGCTAGAGAAGAGATGGAGTCATGTGGTACGAGAGGATATGGAGCTGAGTGGATTTGCCAATGACTGGTACCAGTGGTGTCAAGATCGGCCTCTGTGGAGGAGGCTCGTGAAAAGACGCCACTGGGCAGGTGAAGTCAGTCGCCCTCTAATAACAACAGAGAGGAGAGGAGCGATGCTCACAACAATGAGCGGAATGCCAGGCGGCTAAAACACATCAAGTTGGCATAGTAGGAGCACAAGTGATGCATCGGCCAGTCATCTCAATCAGTCAACTCATGGCACCTGGTTCAGTTCCGTGACCCCCCTATTAGCGAGTCTTCGACACTTCACGTGGCTTTAAAGTGCATATAGCCTGGGATAAGTGCTGTGGAGATGTCACTGCCACTTAGTGGCGAATGGCAGTTGTTGTTGTATCCCTAGCAGCAGAGCTTTCTCGTCTCTGTAGGGCGCTATGTAGGCGCAGATCCCCATTATCCAGCTGTCCAAGCCCCATGTGCAACGCTTCTCTCCAGTTGGCCATCTCCTGGGCCATTTCCCGCCAACCAGGGATAGGAAGGCCACAGTACATGAGTGTAAGGCGCCCACGGTGGCGAGATGTTAACTACCTCACCTGGTATACAGGTGGTTGCGGGTTACATCCCGACGCTTGCTACATATTTGGAGTTTGCATGTCTCTCTCTCTAACCCCGTGGTCGCGTGATTTTTCTCTGGGTCCTATATAAATTGCCACTTGATAAGCCGTTTCGTTGACCTATCATATGTGGCCAGGTCACTTCTGAAAAAGAGCTTTCTAGCTCAGTGGGGACTTAACCAGTTAAATAAATAAAATAGTTTGGGTATATATTTTTTAGGGTATCTCATACCTGTCAACCCATAAGGTTTACCCGTATTCTTCTACAGGGAAATTGAGTTTTCAGGTCCACACGGCGTACAGCCGTTTCCATATGGGCAACATTGTTTTTGTCTATTTGTTTGTGTTTCTCCCTTGTGATGGGACTTTGTAGGATGAAAGTTGAGGTTGATAAGGGCACGACCTGACCAATAAGGTCTGAATTGGTCTGTAATAAGATAGGCACTGATAAGGGGTTGACAGGTATAGACTATCTTTTAAACTCAGGAGGGGTGGTATTTTGACCGGCTGCCCTGGTTGAGTTCGACAGTCCCAAGCCGCTTTGCAATGATGCGGTAAGTCTCTGAAATCCTCATTGCATGTCCGGCCCATCACAACTGAATTTCAATGTCCAGTGACCTCATCGTTGTCGTCACCCAAATTAGCATACAACCGCGTGACACGAAGTCACACCCTCCCCCTGTCCAGACATAAATTAACATAAATTACGTGACGGGGAGAAAAAAATTCGGGCTAAACGATTAATTGATTTCAAATCGAAATTTGAAACAATGCGATTAGCAAACCGCAAAGGCTGCGATTTTTTGCGATATAAAAAGTCTTATTACTTTCTTACTGGAATTGCTTTATTTTATTATAACTTTATTTATTTAACTTAACAATTGTTCTATGTTGGATTGTTCTATTTCAATTAATTATTTTTAAGAAATACATGTTGGAAGCAATTCACATCTTTTAAGTTCTCATCCTTGCATTCGAATATCCAGAGCAGTCCATATTTTGATGGTATCATGTGGTAATGCTCCATCACTTGTTTTAAATCTATTACGCAGTGAATTTTGAACTGAAGCTTGACTTAAAACATTTTGAATCGCAAATCAAATCGCAATGTAAAAAAAAATTAACCCGTAAAAACAAAGTTTTTCACTCTAAATACTTTATATGCGTGGCAGCTAGAGTCCTCTCGTCCTCTGGCTTGAGATGGCTGCCACCTATGGGTCAGATGATTGTCTGCCAGTATTAAGCAATTGGTAATTAAATATTTAATTTGTTTTCCCTAAACAGTGTAAAATTTTGGAAAAAAAATGTTCACGAACATTAATTGTCTCGCACAACGAGTCTGTGTGCAAAATGTCAGCTCGATTGGATCACGGGAAGTGGGTTAAAAAACGACCGAAAGGTTTGCACGGTCGTAAGCAAGCAAGCACGCAAGCAAGCGAACTTAATATAAAGGATAAAAAAATCTCAATTCCATATTTCTCCCACATAATTAGCATAATAGCAGTCACGCGACACCCAGTGACGTCATCCGAGCCCCGCCCCCCGCATATGATTAGCATAATCCAAACCACGCGACCCTCCTCACCACTAATAAACATGACGTCACCCCCCAAAAGAAACGGGGGGGGGGGGGCGGCGACGTTAACGGGGAGCAGCCAATGGGAGCTCGACCCGGGGGCGGGGCCCGCGCGTGCGCACTCGCGCGCCCCCCTCAAAATGGTGACGAGACGGCGCAGCGCGGAGCGGGGAGGACGCGGCGCGGACGAGCGCTAGGAGCGGCGCGCAGCGGGCAGCTGCCTCCCCCCCTAATGCTGAGGTAAAAATGGGCGAAAACGAAAAGGAAAGAAGAGAGGAAACCCGTGGGGAGACCGTCCGTTGCGTTAAAGCGTGCTTATGTTAATTGTTTATTTTACATTTTTTCGCGCGCGTGGGGGGGGTGGTTCTGGCGCCAAAAAAACCGCCGTCTCCGAGCGGCGCGCGCACGGCCGCCATTTTTCTCCTCCCCGTTGCGTTTTCGCGCCTTTTTTGCGTCGCCTCAGCCACGACCAAAATGCAACGAGGGCTAAGATAAAACATCGACGACGATAATAAACAATAACACGGAAACGGGAACCCCCCACTCCCCCCAGACGAACGATCACGAAGCCTCTCCTCAAAATAAAAACAATGTCGCCAAACGTCACCGCGTCGTGTTGTGCGCGATGTGGGGCCGTGACGCTCCTCACCCTCCTCCTCGGCGCGGCCGCGTCTGCGTCATGGCCGCCTCCCTCCTCCTCCTCACAACGCCTCCCCCAACCACCACCACCACTTCCTCAGTCTTCTCCTCTTCCTCCCGCACGCGATTAATCTCCTCCGCTTCTCGTGGCGATGGCTGCTGCGACCGTTCGCTTAGCGTCGGGCGGCCGAGAGAGCGCGGGGAGGAGCCGCCGCCGCCGCTGTCGCCTTCGGTTGTTGACGACGCGAATGGGCGCCGTGTCGTCGTCGTCGTCAACGCAGCGGCGCCAGGGGGAACTAAACCTCGTGCCGCTCGACAAAGCCTCACGCGCGATGTGTGTGGGAATGTGGGAATATGTGGCGATGTTTGTGGGTAAGGGAGAGTGTAATTCCTTACCAGAGTCGTGTGCTCCCCACCCACCACCAGTACCAACCCACTCGCATCATAATTTGTGTTATGGATGATGATGATAAATATAAGTCGCCTCAATGTGGGTGTAGTTTCTCACCATTACGGTGTGCCCGTTTCTCTTCATGACACTAATACTGTAGTAAGCTGTTTATAAAGTAATTCCAACACCCCCCCAACCCCACGTACATGGGAACAGATGAGTTGTGTTTGCCGGCCTTGTCGCCATGCAAACAACAACAACAACATTGTAACCGATGACGTTCACATATCACGTTTAAATGTATAGATTTTAATTTAACGTTGTTTTGGAAATGAGGGGGCGCCTTTTAGGACGGTACTGTTAGGGTTAAAGTGTTAGTAGTATTCCCATATATCACCAGATAATACAGGTCAATTGTAATATGACATTACAAAATTAGTATTGTTGATCTTGCAAAGTATTCCCAATGAAGATTTACACGCATCAGAGTTGTAAATGAGTATCAGAGTTGTAAATGCAAACAACATTGTAACCGATGACGTTCACATATCACGTTTAAATGTATAGATTTTAACTTAACATTGTTTTGGAAATGAGGGGGCGCCTTTAAGGACGGTACTGTTAGGGTTAAAGTGTTAGTAGTATTCCCATATATCACCAGATAATACAGGTCAATTGTAATATGACATTACAAAATTAGTATTGTTGATCTTGCAAAGTACTCCCAATGGAGATTTACACGCATCAGAGTTGTAAATGAGTAGGTCTGTTCAACAGGGTTGTAGCCAACAACTCCAACTTATGCCCTCTTAAGTTGGTAAATGTAACTAGGCAACGATAATTCTCGGCTCTTTTCCAATAAACGGAAGTATAAAATGTGCAGTCACCTGGGTGATGGATGAGATTTGGTGCACACAAAGTGCTTATTATGAAGTTCATTCCTTTATTGTTAATCGTAACCGTCAATACTTGTATATTAAGACGTTTTCCTTGCTAAATTTAGTGTAAAGCGTTTATTTCTGGGTCTGAACAAGTGGAAATTTCACGTTTCTAAGTGACCTTAGGACACTTTCTGAATTTGGAATTATTGTTGTAAGGTGCGAAAGTTTGTAACTTGCACAAACGACGAGTGATTCGCAAGGTATTGTGTGGATTTAAGCTATAATTTTAAGATAAATTAAACACATTGATCTGCAATTTAGGCAGATAACGAGGAATTTGTGTGGATTTTCTAGAATACTCGCAAACCCGCAGCGTAAAAACCTGCAGGCTTCTATAAAAGTTATGCAGTAATATGGGAGTATCATTTGACAACCTTGTCTGTTAAATATCAACTGTTATTGTATAAATATTGTTTTCAGACAGGCTACACTTTGCGTGCGTTTTATTGACTTGAGTTTGTTTATTATTTAAGAGCCTGAGCGCTGGCAGGTAAATAAAGATGTAACATGCTAAAACATGTAAATACTGTAAGCTTAACTTAAAATCTAATATATAAAATTCTTAAAATCCACTAAGCGGCTGCGTATTTTGAGATGATGAGGAAATCGCAGAGCCTGTTGAGTTTCTAGATTATTCTTATAACACCTTAAGCTAATTTAGCATTGCATACAAACGAGTCTGCTTACACGATATTTGGTTATGGACTAAATGATAATCTTAACATGCTCGTTCAAATATTGTTGTCAGAAAATATACAATTATGTTGCTAGTTATTTATTTTTGACTGAAGAATTATTATTAGTTAGATATAATGAGCATTGAACTGGGTTATAGGTGAAAGTGCACTACTGATATGTGGAGTCCAGCCCACATTAAACTTTATTTTAATGAATCGGGGTCTACGGTACTGTATGAGCTAACTTTTGCTTTGAAATGTCTTTTTAGGGTGTATTGGTAGCTTGTGAGCACATTCTCCACTACTACAGCAGTCAGAACCAGGTCTAAGGTTTGCTTTGTGTAATCACCCAGTACATTAATTGTTACTGGGCATCGCCAGTGGACCTATCTGCTGAAGAGTGGGGGGTACTATTATAATTTACTACAATGAGCCAAGAATGTCTGTGTGTCCTGTGCGTGACGTCACTCCACTTTGGCCAGCCCCCATTAATAATCATGAACAGGTGACATCTTCCAAATGGACACCCCCCGCCATTAATAATAATTAGCAGGTGACGTCACTCCACATGGGGGGCCTAGGCCCCTCCTCCCCCCTCCTCAGCGCCAACTTACAACCCTCACGACCAAGGCAGAACCCTCACGTCACGCGATCTCCATAACGCTGTTGAGACATAGAAGTAAAAAGGACGTCATGATGAACAAGGGATTATAACCTTTAAATGAATTAATCTGTCACCGCGGCCTTACAAATTGCACATTAATTGATACAGTGAATATCTTGTCGCGGTCTGCTTTTTGCTTTCAAGTTTCAGATTTACTGAAATACACCCGTCTTTGGACGGCCAAAAGGCTATTCTTAAATAGTCTTCCAAGGAAATCCTCGACAGCAAAATAATTTTAGTAAGGGCGGTGCTTGGGATTTTCTTAAATTTCAGCAATTTATATTTTTCTTGAGCTATCATTTGCAAAAATATCCTACTGCTGTGCCAGTATCATACTTCGAAATATAGCATTTGCTAAAAACCAATACCGAGTTAAAAAATTGGCACCACTGCTTCTTGAGAAACAGCATTTACACATTTGGAAATTCGACAGGCCATGATTTATATATGCCATTAAATGGCATATATCATTACAGTATTTGTATGCCATTTTGGAAAGGATACAATATCGAGTACATTATTAAATATATAAGGTTTCTCACACAGTTCACGGATATTCAGGGTGACTTCAAACAGTCGTGTGTGTGCCATTTTTGGTATATGACCAACATTTGTATGTGTATACATGTCATAGTTTACAATGAGTTATCTGTGAAATCCTCCTTACTATTTCTCTATGTTTAGGATATTATAGCAATTCTAAGCGATATGGGACTCATTTTTAACTGTGCTGTTATTATTTTTGAACAATTTTGTGGTGATATGTTTTGAAGTATTGAGACATGGGGGTTTCTGAAAGGAGACATTTACTTGGAGTTTAAAGGTTTCTCCATCATTTGTCAAGAGAATGTTTTATAGTAAAGTAGAAAATTAATAAGCCATAATTTCTTTACAACCGCTTTTTGTGTTTAGTTGCCCTTCGTCCACACCTCCGATTAACACGGTTAGATACATATGGTGCGAAAGAAGTTCTACATTCATACGTCTGCTGTATGGGATCATGGAGATGACAAAATAACTGGCTTGAGCCAAAAGTATGACATCTGTGAATGGCGATGTTTTGTTTACATTTTCTGATATAATGTCGGCTGTTATCAGTGGTCCATGCACCCAATGTTAAGGGCTGAACAGCTTGGGTTCAGTGAGGACTTTTTGTTGACATTTTTTATTCTTAATGTTTTCCCTCATGGTCAGGTGGGTGGTGGGTTGCCCAGGGGGTCATCCACGTGCTTGTCATGCCATCAAGTTTGCTGATGACCTCTGATGCAATACATATAGTTGTGGTTTCAAAGGTTTACCATTTATCGGAAGATATGGTTCGTAAAAGATCTGGCGAATTCTAAAACGAAGCTGTTGTGTGCTTATATTAACCCCAATCGCGTCCTTTCAGATGCGCTTTCTGCGGCCGTCTGGAACACTCTTCCGATATTAGGAAGCCACTGGAGCTGTGCACTTTTAAATCGAGATTGAAAGCTCATTTCTTTAGAACTGCTTTTTGTGTTTAGTTTGTTGTCCTTCCACCGCACCTCCGATTAGCACGGTTGGCTACATGAGGTGCGAAATAAGTTCTAGATACATATCCTAGAGTTGGAAATTACCAAAGACTTGCCGAATGGCTGGGAAGTTTTGTGGTGCTATAATTGAAGCATTAACAATGCCACTCGTTCAAATCCCCGTTGGAGATTGTTGGATTATGGTTAGGGTTCAATAAAATAAGAACAGTGAAGCCGTATTTTTACCCTCCGATTTATTTAATTATCCCCCTATTTCTAATTTTCTACATCCCAGATAATCGCACAGCGAATCTTAAAGACCTGGCACCTCGTATATGAAATAACGGTACTCTGTAAGGCTAATGTTTACCTGCAGGGATTGAATGAGCAATGGAGGGGGCTTCTTTTTTAGACTGATTAGACGTTTTTTTGTCTGAGAATTATGTATTTAACCGATTGACGTTGATGCTCAAGTAATGATGTGCTTCATTGGAAAGCTTGTGATGTAAATGTCGCATTTGATTAAATTTCATGGATTTTACGGTGTGGTGTCATTCAAGTAAAGGTAGCCTAATTTTTTTTATTTATGTCCAAGCTTTCATACCATTATTGGCTTGTTTTGATTCTTAGCCAGACATTTCTGTCAGCAGATGATTTAACAGGTGCTCCGATGTCAGTGTTGACGAACGATGAGTTGTTATGCTCTTTTGAACTTAACGGCGACCATGCCAACATTGGATTCATTACTTGCTTTCTTGAAGCACATAATTACACATTTAATTTACATCTGCTGTTTTCACAAATGCAGGATGCGTTTTCTTTTTTTATACCAAAAAAATTAGGCTCGTGACCATATCGGGCTGAATCTGTGTATTGTCCTCGGCTGGACTGGTGCAGTGTTTCAGTTTATTCCCCAAAAAACTTCATAGTGTAAATATATTTAACATTACACAAGCAATGACAGGGAAGACAGTGTGGTTAATGGCTTGTATCCACACATTGCCACCCAATGCTAAATTGGTGCACTATAGAATTAATCAAGAGATGCTCGATGTAAAGAAAATGCCAGTGGAAATGAAGGCCGTTTTGGATTCTGCTGTGAATTACTGTTAATGACCTATGAATTCTCGAGTTTTTCTGGCCTGAGCAATGAAATGGGTAGTGCCCCATGTCCAACTTCTTCAAACAAGCACGGTGGTTGTCAAGAGGCAGAGTATTTACTCGCTTGTTCGAGCTACGTTTATACGTACAGCTATTTCTAAGACACCATTCCAATTCGCAAGCAGTTTTGAAGATTCATCCTTGCTCTCGTGATTGGCCTACCACTCCGATATAATCACACACCTTAATGGGCTGAACATGGGGCTGCAGGAAGTTTCGGTGACTCTTGGAAATGCGAGACAAAATCAAGAAACTTAACTTGTTTGCATGTCGCGTACAGAAAGATAACTTCTGTGCATATCCAACATTGTAAGGGTTTATGTCTGAGAATGAACTGGTTCTTGACAACAAAATAAAAGATGAGGTCGAAGAACATCTTATTGCTCCCAAGAAACCGTTTGAAGATTACTTTTCAGTTGAACTTGCAGACACAGCAGTATTTTATGATGCTCTTTTCTAACTACATACCTGTTTGGAGCAGGACTTTTTCATCACTTGCCACCCTCAAAATCCAAATACAGAAGTAGGATGAATGCTGAATCTCACCCGAGGCTAAAGCTGCCAAACGTTGCACTCGACTTCACAGAACTTTGCTCACAGAAACAGGCACATACATCACATTGGAAATGTAAGACTGTGGTTATAAATGTGAGTAACTTGCGTTGATTTGCAAAAGAAAAAAAGTTAACCAAGTCGTTTTCCGGAGATCTCCCCGCAATTTTGAAGTGGTTCGCCAAAATAAAGTTTGAGCACCATTGGTCTCTAAGGCGTATGAGGCGTCTGCAGAATTTTTGTTTAGCCCTGAGAGTTAATTGAATGTTTTGGATACAAGGGCCTAGAATTTCTGGGTGTGGTGAACCAAGAAAAGGTAGCTTTCAGGGTTGAGAGGGCATCAGGGGAGAGACCAAATAGGCGCCACTCTAGCTTGAGGGGGAGCAGCTGTCTGACAACTAATAAAGGATTGTGTGTATGTATGTACGCGTGTTGTGCGTGCGCGCATTTGTGCGTGCTTACTCGAGGCAGCAAGGCCGTGAGGCCGGATGCGGAGCTGGCAATGTCTGCCGAGCAGCACAACTCTGCCCGCAACAACCATGCGGCGACGGCGGTGGCGGTGGTGGCAGCGGTGCCAGCCCTCGCTGCTGGAGCCAGTCCGGCACACCCCCAACCCGTGCCGGTGGCGCACGCTCAGCCGCTGTCGCCCCCGCTGGTGCAAGACTTGCCCGGTCAGCACACAGAGCCCAAGCGGCGTTATTCATTCGTTGGGTCATTGAATGTGCCCCATTTGTACATGTCACATGTTTCAGTAAGTGCTGCCATTGTTAAGGAGCCATTTCTTTCCTCATTAAAGGAAGCTGTATAATCCAAATAACAAAATAAACTTGTCTTGTAGATGAATATGATGGTTTTGTGGTCTTGGTTGTTCAACGTGTGTGCTAAAAGTTATCCAAAAAGGTTCTGGTCAGACACATTATCGCAGAAAAGAGACATCACTGCCATGAGGTAATATGACGTCAATCCAATAATGGCATGAGGGAGAGCTCTGGACATGCAACCTCGCTATTCAAATACCAGATCAGAGCTTTGTTTTTTACACTTTAAATGTATAAGCATTTTGTTAGCTATAAAACAAATAAGGCAGTGCGACAGTTAAAATTTGCTTCTTTGAAGAAAATAACAATGCGATTCACCACTCAAATCCTAAGCTTCCATTTTCAACAATGGTGTGCCGGCATTAGATTTCCCACTGTACAGCATATGCTGTGACCGATCTCGGGTCAATGGCTGCACACCTTGTGAATGTAGGTAAAAGTACAGTGGTACCTCGGTATGCGTCGTTAATTCGTTCCAGAAGGTAGGACTTGTACCGAAAATGACGTATACCAAACGAATTTTTTCCATAAGAAATTAAGGGAAAAGGAACATAATCCGTTCCAGAGTATAAGAAATTATATTTTATATGGCATATTATACATTAATGGGGTTGTATAAAATAATTTAGACACTACTTGTTACTGAAATGCATACATTAAAATATTTTTTGGAAGGAGAGTCCCCTTCCATTAACTTCAGGAAGATGAAATTCTGGGGTTTTTTTCTCTTTCAATTTTCTGTCTTTTTTCTTGACTTGGACCTGGTTGAGGCTCATCAGGTTTGAGTTTTACTAAAAACCTGTCCATTGAAGTTTGTTTTTGCCTTCTAAGAATGTTCCTGAAGTGTGACATTGTCTGGTCATTCCACACAATACTGTTACGGCTTGTTAGAGCCGTAACAGTAAGCGCGTCGTATCCCAAGCAAGACGTATCCCAAGACATTTTTTTCTCTCGTCAAAACACGACGTATACCAAATTCGACGTATTCCAAAGCGGTCGTATACCGAGGTACGACTGTACTCTAGTATGCGCTGAAGATTACTGAGGCTGTGGGCTAATGTCGAGGGAGTAGTGCAGTAATGGTATATAAACAAAGCATGGTAATCGTGGTGTCATCTGTCCACTTGGACATTCCCTGTTTCCATTGTACAGTCGTAATTATAATAATAGTGTACAGGAAAACCTCGCCGAACACGGGTTACGTTCCTGGAAAATGCTATGTTGGTCAAGACCGCGTTCGATGATAATTTGACCTCATGGGAAATAGGGTTAGTTCCTGGGTCCGTAATTATAACCCACGTTCTTCTTTGAACTAATTCTTCATAATTTCCGCCCCTTATTGTAAATAAAGGATGCGGAGTCGCTCTCCATTTCTTGTGTGGGTGTACACTCTTTAATTTCACCTCAACACAAAACCACCGTCTCCGTTGCTCTTCCCACACCACGGCACTCCCGCCCAATGCTTGCATCCTGGCACTGATTTTTGCCAGCCCAATGTTCGCCCTTCAACACTCAATTGAACATTAATGATTTGCCATCTAGGCGTCCGTGTGACCAACGAGTGGACAGCTAGATGCATGCGGCAATGCGTACAGCACTCGCCTCTCTCAAGCCTATCTAATGACTATATTTGTAACAATCTGAGCAATGTCAAACCGTGTATCACCGAAACATCACCCTTGTGAAACGGAAAGCAGACCTCATTAAGTAAACCGTGTATAGCCGAAACAACGTGTTCGATAAAACCACTTACGGCGAGGTTTTCCTGTATAGTACACCATGTTTGGCAGTCTTACGCCAGTAATGTCGCTAGAGTGCGCTACAGTGGTGCGCTTGAATGTAAAAAAAAATTCACAATTCAATTTTACTTGGTAATGAAGCTCAACACTTGGAGTCGCACATCAGCAGTATGTGTCTACAGAATGACGTCTATTTGCGTGTGTGGAAAATTGTAATAACAGATGAACTCATCCAAGGCGGTTGGAGTAAGTGCTGGAGCCGACGGGAGAACCGGCCCTACTTTTACAACCGCTTCACCAAGCAGTCGCTGTGGGAGCTGCCTGCGTTGGGACAGCACGATGTCATTGTAAGGGCCCCTCCTCCCTACTCCAAACCTACCTGTAGCCACATGTCTCACCAATAGACGCCTGCTTTTTGTTTTATTACTACTTTCTGTGTTTCGTTGCCCTTTCGAGTTAAAATCCTTATCACCTATGAGCACGCTTGGCTACGTTCGGTGCTAAAGAAGTTCATGCATACATACACCCTTTTGACCTCATAAGTACAAGCCTCAAGGGTTCACATGGGTGACTGGGTGGCTTATTAGGTCACCGAGCTGGGCGTGGTGGTGCATGCCTGTGGTACGGTGCTTTAGGGGCAAGGTTTCTATGTTTCTAGGTTTCATCATGTACAATGAATCCACCAGATTTGCCCTCTTTGGGCTGCGAGGCAGACAGTCACAGTGCAAGAATTGGGGGGGGGGGTTCCTGAACCTGTCTGTGTGGCCTTTGACTATTATTCCCTTGTAGGTGTGGGGTTTCTCTGTGTATTCTGTTTTTTTTTTTCCAAATGCAAAACAATACGTACAAAGGAAGAGGATAAACATCTCAACGTATGATTCTTGATGGTTAGTAAAGCATTGTTGATCAAAGAATGTCTTTCCCCGGCACCTCCGATTAGCACAGTTGGCTACGCACGGTGCGTAAGAAGCTCTGCATACATACAATGTCGCTAATTGTTTCTGTCACGGTGGAGCCAGCGTTGGAATGATGTTGGTTTGAAGGCTAGCAGTTTAATTAGCATAGGATTTGGTCCCCGTTCATGCACTTCCGCTTTTGCTGAAATGTGCCTGTGTTAATACGCGTGTTACCACTGTTACCGAGGAGTTTCAGTGCGTCACAGGAGAGTCCCGTGTTTTGCCTTTTGCCGACGGTGATAATTAGTTTTAAAGTCTGGCTAATTGACACTTGGGCAGGAACTACAAACTTAGCATTGGAATGTTGTGAGTTAAGGTCACCTTTAGGCATTGACTTGGTGCACAATTCTTCTATGGTCTATACAGTGGGCTGCACATTTGTAGGGCACCGCAGTGGCGAGATGTTAACTACCTTGCCTCATGTACAGGAGGTCATGGGTTCGATACTGACCATGACGCCTGTATATTTGGAGTTTGCATGTTCTCCCCGTAGTCGTGTTGATTATTCTTCAGGTCCTCCAGTTTTTCTCTCTACGTTTAGAAACATGCATTTACAGTATTTGGCTGCTATAAATTTCCACGCGATAAGCCACTTTGTTGAGCTATAATGTGAGGCCAGGTCACTTCTGTAAAAGAGATATATTGCTCAGTGGGCCTTACCTGGTAAAATACAAATTTAGTTTACTTTTTTGTATGAGTTATCCCCCCCCAAACCTTGAGATGTAGCTCCATTTGGATGTGATATAAATCCACATTGCAAATCGTATTACTCCTGCTAAGTCGTTGTAATGCATCACAAGAGATGGTCCCTACAGCTGTGTTACCAACCATTGTTACTGATGCTGTGGTGTGGTGTGGTACTTTTGGCGTGCAGTCAGATCCGCTGGGTCTGAATGCGGCCCCGGTTGGCGGGGCGCCGGGCGCACCTGTGGCGGGCGCCACCGGAGCCTCCGTCGAGGATGCTGCTCTCAGGAAGCGCCGGCTGTCGGAGGAGATCGGGGCCGGCGTCGCAGGGGCAGCGAGTGCCGTGTCCAAGCGGACCAAGGTGTGCATGGCAGGAGCTTTGAAAGAAAAGATAGTGTGTAATTAAACCCTTTTCCGTTACGAGACGTCCGCAAGTTGCAGGGTGGGTGTCCCGTTCACCGCCGGATCTTGGAGCGTGCAAGCGGTTCAGCATTATTTTTATTTAGAGAGGCGTAGTGCCGCTGTTTTTAAAGACATTGTACTTACCGCAGTGAACTGTCACGACACAAACGTGTACTCTATGATAGCTGGCGTTAAACTGTGCCACATGCTACATCCCGCATGGCCTTGTGGGAGTTCCAGTACGTGTTCCGACTTGAAGACATGCCAATATTTCTTTCTTCCGATTCCATTCCGATGACGTGCACGTACGTGATCGAACAGAATCGGAAGAAAAGGTGATGTACATGTACACGTTCGTCATCAGTTTTGTTTTATGTTGTTTTGCGCATACACCATGGGAATTGTAAAGGATTAAAATGTAGTAATAGCTCTGTGTAATAAAATAACAGTGCTGCTTAGGTTTTCACGGTTGCGCTGTTTAGCTCTCCAATCGATGTGTTTTTAAGTTTTGCCGTGTGTTTTCGTGATGTCTGACGGTTTCGCTTCACGTACTGAGTGGAAGCTTCACTTTGTGAAGAAGTTTCAGTTGCGGAAGAAGCTTCCACAGCATGTAGAGTGAAACGTCAAACGTTGCTGCAATATAATTATAAATCAACAACAGACACAAATCCGTTTCATTGCACAAATAAAATGTTGGCCTGTCAACCTCTGGACCCTTTCAACCGGTGTTTTGCAGTTAGCATTTCCTTAAACTATCGATTTTAACTCGACTCTGAATCATCATCAGACTGTATGTAGCCTGTTAAACCAAAGCCCCTGGCTTGCCTGGTGTTACAAGGAAAAGCCATTTATGAACCTTGGGACCTCATCGGTTATGGATTTATTTCTTACGCAGGATGGCTTTCGTAACACAGCACCACTTTAATATGGGACCTTTCTTGTAGCACAACTTATGTTTGAGGAGATTGGGTTATCTGAAGGGAAATTGTTGGCTCCATATCAGATTAAAACAGTATTCTTTTTGTCGTAGGCGCCCACGTAGCCAATTATGTTATCAGTGTTGGCTTATAAATAATGTTACATATATAACTCATTGGTATTTCATTTACCCAGGATCTGATTTGGTGTCAGTGGGCTCTGAAATGCTCCTTTGCTTTTTAGCCGTCACTCCCAATGCATTCCATAAATGTTAAATTGTTTGTGTACCTGAGTAAAACCTTTTTCCGTCCGCCTAACAAGAAACACAAGCAATCAATGCTTTACTATTCATTGACTTAAGTGCCAGTTGCTTTGCTCTTTCCTAGTTGAAATTTAAAGTTCTTGATTGGCAAAAGTGCTCTATATCTCGTCTCTTCGAACCGATTCTCACCCACTAAAATTATTGGCTTGCATTGTGTTAGTTTAGCGTGACTTTTTTTCACTGAATTATGCTACAAAAGATTGTTATTATCAACCCTTGCGATGAGTTGATGTTTTGTTTGCTAATGATTGTCCATACCACTGTCTTCTGCCTCCAAACCCTTGTCTTTTTTCCCACCACTCAGTCAGAGGACGTGATGCCGGTGACTCCAGTGACGCCTGTCCCCAAGGGCTGGAAGGCGGAGGCTGGATTTGCTAGTCCCACACAGAAGCCCAAGCCTCCCACCCTGCCCTTCCCGTACGCCTTGCCAGCATGTCCCCTGCTTACACTCCCAAGCACTGCATTGTTCTTCAGTGCTTTTGTTAAAATTTGATGTATTTGTTTTGCGTTCTCTTAAGTTTGTATTCAGGGATAGCTGGTCTGGCCAGTTGGCTCATCGGAAGAGTGATCGGTTCACAATTGGAAGGTTGCAAGTTAGAATCTTTACTTGTTTGGGGTTGATTCAGCCCACTGGCCCTCCTATGTCAGTTTTTATTTTAACAACAATGTTATTTTTTCGTGAACTCTTTTTTTCCCCGGCATATTTTTCAGTTTAAGTTGTTTAGTTGTGGTGTTGTACGAGGTGTAAACTCAATGAGAGTGGTTGCAATTTCTGATTCTATATGGCGTTGAGCTCATCCCATGATTCATATGGGGGTGTATGAATTGCATACCACTGAGAAGTCAACTCTCATCAGCCTAGAAGGCAGAGACTGACTTCGGCATCAAGCTAAAGTTGAACAGTGCGACTAATGCTGTTGCTGCTGCTTTGCACAACGTTTCTTATGAGCGACCCATTTTAGTCAATCACGGCACATTTGTTTAATCGTTTATACAATACACGTTCATTAAGCTTGTTCGCCAGGAAAACTTTTCAATAAATATAAGAATTCAACTGATGAGTTTTTATAATTTCTTTCGACGATCAAACACTAACTACTCCAAAAAGAGTGTATTTTTCCGCAAAAAATCATCAAATTGTTGACTTCATTCAATTTCTTATATTTAAAGACATACCCATTGGAAACCGCTCAAATTTAAGATTAGTTTTTTTTTACGAGAAAGCACAATCATTTGGGAACTTAATACTCTGAGGGGAAGCTCCTATCTTTTACCATTTTCGAATTATTCAGATTTGAACATCAAAATGCGTATTTTTCCATTCAAACCTGCTTGAATCTGAAATATCTCAAAAATAATAAAAGCTAGAACAATGGTTCTCGCTTTGATTTTTTTCCTGTTTAACGCTCTATCAAACGAAAAAAACGCAATCTTATATTTTGAATGGTTTCTGAATGACATGCACAAACATGTTTATGGGGCACTTAAAAATCGAGATTTGAGGCCTTAAAATGAAAAAATCTCGGATTTTCAGGTTTTTCATGTTCTTGTTCAAAAAGCAACCGATGTACCAAGTTTCAGCTTTTTACCTTGTTGGGAAATACACTCGAGGTTTTTAAGACATACAACAGGGTATGGTCTTTATTTATATAGAAGAGAGATGGGTTTGGAAACCCAACCCCCCTCCCGCTTCTATCACCACCGGGCCTTTTTGCTTCGGGAGTTCGGCAAGGAATGGCGAAGGGAAAGTGCCTGACTTGCCCACGAATTAAACAAAAATATCTGGGCATTTTATAAAAAAATTACGTGAAAAAACTACTTTTACTTTTTCATGTTGAATCGTGTTTTTTCTTTATGCTCCACACTGGTATCCATAACAATATACATCCATTTTTGTAGGGATGAGTGTAGTGTTTCATTGCAATTGTGGTCATGTAGTCTGTTCCAGCCACTTACAGTGTAGCTTGTGCAACAAATTTCAAAAGGTGTTCAGATAAAGTTGCTGTGCTGCAGAGACGCAGCAAAGTTGTGGCGCAACACAATCATTCAAATTGTACTGTTTTAACTTCAGCTTTAAGAATTCAGAATTTCTACCACTGGTCACGAACAGAGAAGAACACTTCGCCGTGATAATTTTAGTAGCCTAGTGGCCAACTAGGTAGCACACTCACCAGTTGACCGATTCACACTGTTTGAACATTTTAGTCCCTCATCCTTTCTGTTACTTCATCTGCAACGCCACACCCTCCGCTCCTGCCCTTTTCGCCATCCCTACAGAATTTACTGGAACCTGGAGGTGCCGACGAACGCGGTGATCAAAGAGCGGGGCCTGTTCGACACGTTCCACCCTCACCCCGAGGTGGAGTTGTTTCGTGCGCAGCTCACGGTCCGCCTGCGGCATCAGTACCAGGAGTTGTGCCAGCAGAGAGAGGGTGCGTGCGCCACATCTGCCCCCCTGGTCCCATCTTGCTCTTTACTAGTTTCTCCCGCAGGAAGATTATTTATTATTTTAACCAGAATTGGTCCTTGAAAACTCGTTATGAGCATCCATTTCTCAGACAACCGCTTAGGTGCCTCTGGTAGATCGACTTGCTCGCTATTTGGATGTTTTTAAGATTAAATGTTTGTGGTTTTGACTCAGCCAATCGCTTTGCAGGGAAGTCAACAGTACTTGTCCTATGGATAAATTCAGCCGAGTAATAGAAAATGTTAATTTAAATTGCTATGCATTTTTTGAAAATACGAGGTGTTAAGTGGGAGATTCTTGCTATTAGAATTTATCTGTGGCTTCCATGAATCGCTGACATGGATTTATGATTAATTGGTTAATGATGATGGAGCATTCATGATGGTGATTATTAATCGATGATATAACGATAACGTTGTGTTTCGAGACATTGTCTAATAAAGTGTTCTTCATTGCAAGGCCTGGCGACCACTGGGAGCCCCTGGTCACCTTTAGTGTGGCTCCTGATGTCCGTCCCTCGACATTACACAAATGTAAAAAGACTCCATCATGCTGTCAAACTCAATGTTTGAAAATGTGTGGTAGCCCTCACACCGATGTCTTATCGCCGAAAGTGACCCCCCCTCTGAAAATCAGTGAAGAACACTGGTCTAATATATGGCATTAGGTGCACACAGATATGAAACCCTGGGCAGGCCATTCGTAATTAAAATATCAGAATCCATACAAATGGCCTCTCCGTTGCTGCGCCGTGGACAGGGGTGGACGCACCACGCGAGTCATTCAACCGCTGGTTGCTGGAGCGCAAAGTGATCGACAAAGGTCGCGACCCCATGCTGCCCAGCGACTGCGAGCCCGTCGTGTCGGTGTCCATGTTCCGCGAAATCCTCAATGACATCCCCATACGGTAATGCTCGCCAGCCCACGCTGTGTCAATTCCAGGTTACTCGCCGTTATGCTGCTGTATTCATACGTGTCTACGTATATGCTGCCTGCCTTAATCTGCTCTGAGCAGTGTGGTGAAGTATGTTGAAATAATCCCCATGACCAGCACTCTAGGTGCAAGTCCGATTATCCAGCAGTGGGCTCAATAGCAGGCACTATTGAGAATGGGAACAATGACAAGGTTTCACTATTTAATTGGTGTTTATGAGATAGTGGCTAGAACTTGATGTTACTATCCATACAACCCAGGACTAGATTCTCACACTGTACTTAATGAGACTCTGTGGTTTATCTAGCAGTGGCTTTTGTTTGGTGAATGTGGAAATAGAAGGGTTGCCTCTGATCCGATGTATCTTGACGTTAGTGTTGTGGAGATTATGGTGGGTAGATTGAACAATACTAGCCTTAATGCTTATACTATAAATGCTCTGTAATGATGTTTTTTTACAACAGTTTCTGTGTGTGTGTGTGCGCTCGTAAGGCTGTCACGCATCAAGTATCGCGATGATGCGAAGAAGCAGCTGTTTAAATATGCCGAGGCAGCAAAACGCATGATCGACAACAGGCAAGTGGTTGTCGACTCTGGGGAGAAAAAACGTCGTGCTTCATACATAATTGCTCATTTGACCCTTTTCCGTTTGGAGATGACTGGAAACTGCAGGGTGGGTCCCGTTCTCGGAACGTGCAAACTGTTCAGTGTTCATTTTAATTAGACTAGCATAGCGCCGTTGTTTTTTGGTACTCGCCGCAGAGAACTGGAGCGACATGACCGCACTCTGATAGCCGGTGCCAAACTCTGCCACACGCCCTCCCGGCATGGCCTTGTGGGAGCCTCGCTACTGATAAAGTTACGATGTACATGTAGGTCATCGGAACGGACAGTGTTAAATAGCTTTAGCTCACAACATTTTGCTTGTGATTACCAGTTTTAATCCGTGAAAATGAATATAACATCAGGTGGTGCAGCTGCATACCACTGGAACCCAGCGAGTTCGATTCAGGTTCCCAGCTAACTTACCGGGGAACATGTGTCCTTGTGTCGCCAGGAACGCGTCCCCAGACAGCCGCAAGATTGTCAAGTGGAACGTGGAGGAAACGTTCAACTGGCTGCGGAAGGAGCCATCGCCCTCCAAGGAGGACTACCTGGTGCGTGACCTTCGGGGGTGCTCCTTTTAAATCTTTAGTCCTCTGCCCAATGACCAGGCTTTGACCCAATATCCTCCATCCTGTCCGATCTTGAGCTTAATTTCACTCGATGGACCCGATTCATTCAAGTCGTCAAGAAGCACCTTTTTCGACCTTTTGGACTCTTTCTCAAAATCACTTCCCCCACACCTTCGATTAGCACGGTTGGCTGTGTACGATGTTGAAAGAAGTTCAACGTATATATATCTTTCCAGAATTTCCTTCATCAACCTTTCACCTCCTGAGAATGTACCCAATCCACATGTTGTACCTTTTTGTTTTTTGGAGGTAATAATACGTGAGTTTTTTATGAAATCATCACTGAGATGATAAGGATCTATTTTCTGAGGGTTCTGCACTGGAATGTTTGGGCAGTTACATTTAAAGCATGTGAGAGGAACCAGATGCCGTAGGGAAAACCAAAAATGAGGAGGTGACGCTTAACAAGTATAACCCGTAAAAACAAAGTTTTTCACTAAATTCTTTATATGCGTGGCGGCTAGAGTCCTCTCGTCCTCTGGCTTGAGATGGCTGCCACCTATGGGTCAGATGATTGCCTGCCACCATTAAGCAATTGGTAATTAAATATAATTTATTTTTTCCTAAAAAGTGTAAAATTTTGGAAAAAATTTTCACGAAAATAAATTGTCACGCACAACGAGTCTGTGTGAAAAATGTCAGCTCGATTGGATCACGGGAAGTGGGTTAAAAAACGACCGAAATATTTGCACGGTCGTAAGCGCGCAAGCAAGCAAGTGAACTTAATATAAAGGATTTAAAAAGAGCTCTGCACAGAGGGTTGTTCATGTGTTGGTGCATGCCTGTAATCTAGGACTATAAAAATAGTTCATAGAGCTGGCAGGTAGCCGAGTCATAGCACAGAAAGTGGGTTCATGAACCCTTATGTTATCTTTGTTATCTTCTTTATGTGGTTTTGTCTGGGTACTGTGGTTTCCTCGCGCATGCAGACAACTCGGTTAATATGAGTGACAAGACCTTCCCAGTGCAATGGCCTTTCTGAAAAAGTGTCTTGAAATCTCAGACTTTTCTGGACGAATGAATAACCTTGCTAGTTTAATTACAACGTATAAGATGTATCTCTCTCTGTACATGTTTTGTGTGCGGTTTGAAGGACCGCCTGGACCACCTGCGCCGTCAGTGTGGCCCCCATCTGGCTGAGGTGGCCAAGGAGTCGGTGGAGGGGATCTGCGCCAAGATCTTCACGCTGTCCTGCGACTATGTCAAGCGCATCCGAGACAAGAACCTGGACATGCTCAAGGAGAACAAGCTCGCCCTGCCAGGTGCTGAGACCAACAACTGGCTGGGTCTGCAAGGGTTTACCGGGGTTTGGTTCAAATGTGGAACTCAATGTGAGAGTAAATTCTTATTATCTCAAACATAGTTGTGATATCACCTTCCAGAGGCTATTTTTTGTGTATTTTTGCTCCAGGTCCACTGTTTTTTTTGCTGCACATTGAGGAAAACGCGTTTAGAGCAGTGTTCTTCATACATTTTCAAATGGGGGCCATTTTTGCCAATAAGACAGTGTGAGGGCTGCCACACATTTGAAAACATTGGGTTTTGGACAGCATGATGGGATGTTTTCACATTTGTGTATTGGCGGGGGCTGCACTTCAGGGGCCGCACTAAAGGCGACCAGGGGCTGCAAGTGGCCAGCGGGCCTTGCAATGAAGAAAACTGGTTTAGGCTGCTATACATTTCTGAAAGATAAGCCTCTTTTGTGGAGCTATCATTTGTGGAGAGGTCGCTTCTGAAAAATCGAAATACAGCTCAGTGGGCCTTACCTGTTCAAAGAAAAATAGTTAATAGGTTTTTTTTAATGTGATGTAATGTTAGAGATCATTAGAGAGTCAAAAAATTACGTAAGTTAGATATCGTCTTCTCTATGCGAACTTGAGTGTGTGACAGCGCATATCTCCATTAATTGCACTGAGAAATTCTAAATGTGGTGAGAGCCAGCCTCTCCATTTGAAAGCAGCTCGTGTTGCTTTCTCGACAGTGGTAATCATGTGATTGTCCCAGGAAGGATCATTGGCTTAATTGAAACCCAACTGGCGCTTCGCTTTATTAGCTTTATTCAAGTGCTCTCAGTAATAGAGCTAACTCGTATAAATGTTAAACAACGTATAAAAATCCCTTGGAAGTAGGGCTTTGATTTATTTAACCTCATACTTTTAAATAATTATTGTTACATAATGTTTGTTAAACGATTACATTGCAGGATGTAAAAATAGCAAATGCCTGGCATAGCCGAACCCAATGAGTCATACAAACAACCCTCGAGTCTTGCCTTGTAAGTCCACGCATCTTTAACTGCAGAGGAACCCTGATTATCTTTGGTAATTAGCACACGGCCATTCACAGCAAGTGAGCACCCAGATAAAGAGAAGAAAGCCATTTATGGGCCTGTGTTACACTGCACAGCCAAACTTGGCAGTGGATTTCAAAACAAGGAACACATCGCACAGTGCATACATATTTAAATAAAAAGATAAGTATTCTGTCGGGGACACTTGTGAAGAGGAGTCGGAGAATAGTTGAAGCACTTCTTTAATTCACCAACGCACAGCAACACTCGTTCCAAAACCCACCCCGAACACAAGTCCCACAGCCCCTTTTAACCTCTCCGCCCTTGCTCCCAATACACATCCAAGTCTGGTACGCCTCTGGACCGGGTGACGTCATTTGCCCTTTAACCCCTGACCACCGTCCAGCGTATTCCCGCGCGTGTGATTGGTGCGTGTTCGTGAGAGCGGAGATATCGTGTCTGCGTGCGGAAGGGTGGCTCGCGGATCCATTACACTTGTAGCGTGTCTGGCCAGGTGACTCGGCGGTAGAGTGAGCGGCTCTCAATCGGAGGTGTTGTGCGGTGATATACTTGGTTGGTGGTTGACTTGGCCCATTGTTCTTCGGACATCTTAAAATGAGTACCACACTATGTGGGGAAGTCAACAACGGTGGTTATCATATGTAGAGACACTTAGCCCCACCATAGAAATGTGCAATTTCCACCTGGCCAGGCACTACGCTCGTGTACTGTAGAGTACACAATATGGTATTTATATCGATTTATTTAGGTTCAACGTACATGCATAACATTTATGCACTGAGATGAGCACCGTCTTTGACTATTTTAGCAGGAATGGTTTTGATGGTAATTAATGCTACTCAGAGAAATGGCATTCCACCAGACTTGACAAATACAGACGCTAATCTTACTCTTGATGTAATTGTCCAGCTGTATCTCTACCAGCTATCTGCCTCTCTTTGTGTACCTCTGACTATCTCTGTTTAGCTACACAGAGATTAGCACGGTTGGCTACGCACGGTTGGCTACGTACGGTGCGAAAAAGTTCAACATTCATACAGCTACCTCTTTTCCTGCATCTCTATCTTTCAGCTTATTATCTTTCTATTTAATTAATTGCTGTGCAGTTTCACTGTGTACCTATCTATTATCTGCCTACCGCATTGCCCATCTATTTCACTTCATTGCCTAACTGTCCCTGCCTACCTACCACCAGTGCTCAGCTCACCGCGTTTGCACCCTATCCCCCCCCCCCCCCCCCGTGTCTCTCTTTCGGTGCAGAAGAGGCTGCTGCGGTGGCGGTGGCAGTCCCTCCAGCCGTTGATCGGCTGGTTTACTGCTTCCCAGCGCGCCTGTCCATACCCCCCTGGCCCCTGCCGCGTGTGGAGATGCACACAGAGAATGACATGACCTGCCTCCGCTACCGTGGGGAGATGGTCAAAATCAACCAAAACTACTTCAACAAGCTGGTACGGGGGTGTGTGTGTCAGTGACGCTGTTACCTACATGATTAATGACATTAAGCGGTTGTTGTCACTTTTTGTCATTTAAATGCCAGCTACGGTGTTGGCATCATATCATGAGATGAAGAAATTGTAATTTGGAACTTTTACTGGAAAGCATTGTATTACGTCGTGTTAGAGAATGGCCTCTGGAAGATGACATGGAACTATTTCTGAAATCCCTACAGTTGCTTCCTCCACACGTGCACATTATTACATGCCCTGCTATTAAGGTGTTCAGCGTACAAAAATAAGCAAATTTGTGTGATTTATCATAGTTGCATGTTAGTTGAATTAAGTGGACATGTTAATTAAGTTATATATTTTGCATAGTCACAGATATGACTTGGCTGAAACCATCAACCCCCTCTAGACTTGAGAACATTGTTCATCAGCTCTCCGCATCAACATTAAATATTTAGCATTGCATGAGTTTCCTGCTTTTTGAACTTAGCCAGGAGCGTTCAGATGTACAGGTGACCCCCGCTTTTACGACCTTACTTATTGTAAGTTAGACCCCCACAGTAACGACCAAAACTCGTATCTATGACCCCCTAACGACTGTTACTGAAGCCGAGTCGCCTGATGGCGCTGGTTTGTTCTTCCGCTGTATGCGTAGAGCGATAGCGGTGTCTGTTTCGCAACGCTCTTCACTTTCTTTGTAAATTTTGAAAAATTTTCGTCTTTCGCGATGTCTGAGAAAAGGAAATGTGATGCACGTGCAGATAAATACTTAAGATGTAAATTTTTGTTTTTACTTGAATTGTTTGTAAAAGTTATGTTAAGTTTCAATAAATGTTTGTTAGGGTTATTGACGTACATTTTTGTCGTCAGTTGTGGTATTTTATTGATAAGTGATCGGTTTCCAGGAATAGAACCCCAATTTATAACATTGTGCCTATGGGAAATAAGGATTAGACTTACGACGCCTCAACTTGCGACCATCGTCGCAGGTGCGGGGGTCGCCTGTACACATGCGCCAGTCATTCTGCCGACACGGTCACCGTTCCACTGCTGTAACGAGGCCTCGTCGTCGCTGTTGTGTGCGGCAGGAGCACCTATACAGGCTGGGCTCCACGGACGACCCCCGCTTTGAGAAGTTCCTGGCGCGTGTCTGGTGTCTGCTGCGGCGATACCGGGTAAGGGAGGAGTTGGAAGTAATTGAGCGAATCAGGTGCCGTCGGGGTGTTGCTCTCTACCCAGAATCAGAATATTTATTTGTACTGGAGGAATCTGATGAGCTATAAAGCTCTTTTTCACAGATGCCCAGTAGTGGCAGGTCAGAACGTTACAACAACAAACAATACAAAACACGATAGGAGTGCAAAGTATAGGAAAGGTAAACAAATTGATAAAAAAATAAGTCAAAATGAAAGTAAACTATCCATAAAATATTTTTTTGCGTTATATTGCGTAAATATAAATGTGTCGTTAAAGCCGCCACCTCCTGACACTGCCAATTAGTAAGGTGTGCCATGTAAACAGAACATGCCAATTCGTTACTGGTACTGGACACCGATGTGATGGAGAGCAAATCCACAACATTTACAATCGCCAGTAATTACAACTCGCATCAGCAGGCGGCAGCCAGATTTATGGAGAAATCCTCCTGTTTCGTTTCTTAATTAGACTAAACTAAACAATATTTATCTCCCCCTCCTGGCCACGTATATTTCTGTCTTGTCGGCACGGCTTGCCTCTTCTGAACTCGCACACAATGTCTCTGGTCACATCAGCAAAGTAGCAGCTGATGTGAATTGGGTTGTCATAGGTAATTTGCTAAAGAGCGTCATACAATGTTACGTCGCATACACACGAGGAAGTACAGGGATTACTCGCTTAATCTCGTAATTGCATTCCGGAAGAGTGCAACTTGAAGTGGAACGATGTTAAGTGAACCTATTTTCCTCCTAAGAAATACAGTAAAGTCGGAGGTTACATTCCAGTGTACATTCTTTTTTACCGGACAAAAACACCGTTATAAGTTGAAACACAGCAACACAATATAAAATAAATCTTGACCTAAAGCTTTCGTGACTGCAGGAATTCATATTCTTTAGGTCTTTCGGTAAAGCCACATAGATAGAAAAAATAATAACAATATCACGACGTTTCGTTCGCAACACAAGCAATCGTCATCAGGTGAAAACATTTAGCGGGAGAGCTGCTGAGGCAGGAAAAATATATGGCGAGAGCGCTGCTGAGGCAGGATGTTATAAAGGTTTGAGATGAGTGTAGCCCAAGGGTAAATGGGCGGAGCTAGAGATGTAAGTTGCATGTAAATGTAAGATCGGAGAGCTGAGCCATACCCACGATGATATTGTTATTGTTTTTATCTACGTGGCTTTACCGAAAGACCAAAATAATGTAATATAAAATAAATGCGATATAAATCCTAATCAAGAAATGTAAATTCTAATACGTTATCACTCACCAATGATGTGAAGCGGGCGTATGGTAGTCAGTCCATGGTGGGTGGTAGTGGATGTTACTGGCAGTAGGAGGGGGGCGGAATCGTCTGCTGCCTCGCCTTCATCTGAGCGCGCCGGTGACGCAGCTTCAACTACGCCAATAATATGGCGTAGCGGAACAAACACTGAGATAGGATGCAAGGGATCCTGGGACAGCGCCCCGTTGTTGCTACACGCAATGACGCTCTCCACCTCGCAAAGTAGTTCCCATTGCTTGCAAGGACGATGTAAAAGGGAACGTCTTGACATTATTAGAGAATTTACTTCCTATTGCATTGGCGACGGTATAAAGAAACAAGGTCAATTGAATCGACGTTAATCGAGGGGTCCTCTGTATGCTCATTCATTGCTCGAGTTTTGCGGCGGGAAAACAATCCGGCGTCTGCTGAACTGTGCCGGGCTGGCTCATCGCGGCTCAGTTGTTGTACGGTAGAAAGAGGTATCATTGTCTGCTCTCGTCATTTGTCCGTGCCAGCAGACCATGTTCGGTGTGGGCGGCAGCGAGGGCGCAGGACTGCACGGTGCACTGCCGGTGCCCGTGTTCGAGGCACTGCATCGACACTTTGGCGTCACCTTTGAGTGCTTCGCGTCGCCCCTCAACTGCTACTTCCGGCAGTACTGCTCCGCCTTCGCCGACACGGACGGATACTTTGGCTCTCGAGGGTGAGAGTCGTGTGCACGAGCGGCGTAGGCGCGAGGGTCTTGGTTCAGGGGTTATCACGGCCACTGCTGTATTTTTGTCACCTTATCTTGCTGTCACTTCCTTCAGATAGATTCTGCGACGATTGCATAGTCATATCATGACCTTTGAATTCTCTGCCTAGCGTCTCTCTGTAGGTCTTTCCGTGGGTTAACAACTTCACAGTTGCACCCATCACACCCTCAATTTTTTTGGATTGTTTGATAACAGAGGAAGACATTCACTCTCCCGTTGTTAAAGCACTGGCCCGTTGTGCCGTGTGACCCTGCGCTCGCTCACCACAGGCCCATACTGGACTTCAATCCAGTAAGCGGCTCCTTTGAAGCCAACCCCCCCTTCGGAGAAGAACTCATGAATGCCATGGTGGATCACTTTGAGGTAAGGCGGTGTTTTGCTTTTCTCGTCTTGCTTGCTTTACTTTTTTCTGATTAATTATAAGGGGAATTGTCAGTCGGCTGGCTTTTAATGATTCCCCTCCACCGCCGTGAAATCTGTTGTCATTGAGGGATATGCCACGTGCCTCTTGCAAGAGCCAGTCTGTAATAATTGGCTCAATTGACGACACCACATTAATCCCCCCTCTAAGACTGAAACCGGAGGATTTCTCCACAATGTTGGCTGTCGCCTGATGTTGATGCATGTTGTAATCAGCGGTGAAATGTCACCGTACTCGAATGGTAAATGTTGTGGGTTTACTCTCCAACACACCAGTGTGCTAAACTAGTAACTTATTGGCATGTTTTGTGTATGTGATAAACCTTATTAATTGGCTGTGGTGGGCTTAACGACACATTTATATTTTCACGAACTAACCCAAAAATCCTCTGTTTAATTAAAAACCTCAATACATATGAGATCTGCACATTGATTCACGAATCTACTTACTGTCCTGCCAACCCTCATTTCTAAAGCATATTACAGGCATGCACCACCAACACTCATAAGCAAGCAAGTCATCTTTGCATGGGTGAAATGTGCTCTGCATGCAGTTGTCCCGGTGTCTGAGCCACGGTGGAATAGTGGTGCAGCGTTTAGTGCACTTCGCAATGAACCCCAGTGACCCGACTAAGATTCCTGGTCACGAGGAACAGCAGTCACGAGTGATATCTGGACCAGTCCTGAGCCTTGCCTAGATGGACTCGGTCATCTACAGTACATGTACATGGTGCAAAGTATCAACATCGGCACTGGAGAGAAGACAGCACCTGACCCAACAACCTTGAAAAGGCTTCATGGGGGGGGGGGATCTTTGCGCACGTGGTAGTGTGTCTGTGAGCCTCACACTGTGTCTGCCCTTCCCCTACACTGGCACTGGCAGAATCTGATGTCGAGCTCGACAGAGCCGTTGTCGTTCATCGTGTTTGTGCCCGAATGGCGCGAGCCTGTCACGCCGGCGCTGCTGCGCATGGAGGAGAGCCGCTTCAAGCGGCGCCAGGTTCTGGTGCCGGCCTTCGAGCACGAGTACCGCAACGGCGCGCAGCACGTGTGCAAGGGGTTCGTGCTTCCACGAACGCACACACACAAGCAGACAAACGCATGCACACAAACACACTTCCGCACACGCACAGACATGCTTACTCACAAACACATGCGTACATACAAATACATGCACTCAAAGGTTCCCCATTTAGCCATAGAGACTGCTGCATCAAGCGCTGCTTGTGAGCGTCGATAAGGTTGGCACACCTTAGTGTGGTGTGGCCAGCACCATGCCTGGCCACCTGTGTTTCCTCAGTGCTGATTTTTTTCCTACACTGTCAGGTACTTATGTAGGGCTGAATCAACCTAGGGAAGGCCATGATAGGTTTAAATGCTGCTATAGCAGGAGAGCATTAGAGGCATAATTAGGAAAAGAAGGTCGCTACAGGTGGGCTGTGCAGGTAAAGGAGCGCTGCTTCGACTCACGTTGGAGTGGCACCCAGACATTGCAGCAAAGGCGTAAGACAGATTGCGATGGTGGGATGTCGTAGGTGTAGACCTTGCCGTTCATTTGTCAACTGAAACTTTTGTAGGACCAAGCAGAATGCAGAGTGAATTGGTGAGGTGTGTTGGCATGATAGTCATTAGTTGTGATGACCTCTTGGTGCTGTTGAATCTGTAGGGAGGACCTACACATCCGCGCGGTGCACGGCACGGCCATCATCTTTCTGCAGAACGACGCCGGCTTCGCCAGGTGGGAGCCCACGGCCGACCGTTTGCGCTTGCTGCTCGAAGCTTACCGCGTGCAGGGGCGGCAGCAGCAGCAGGCGCAGCAGCAGGCGACACCCTCAACGCCCTCGGCCACAGCCCCGAGCAGCACCCCTTCGCACACCGCCTCCACCTCCACTTCATCACCGGCTGTCGAGTCTTCGGCAGGGGGGTCGGCAGGGGGGTCGGCAGTGGTGTCCCCCACGACCTCATCTGCGGGACAGGGTGAGGGAAGTGGAACAACAACAGCTGCAGCAGCAGGGCAGACTGAGAACCACGATGAGACGAAACAGGCCGTGCCTGCCGAGGAGCCCAAGAAGGAGGAGGATAAGATTCTGGAAAGTATTGAGGAGTGGATCTGAGCTTGCGGGGCAAGGGTGCTCGTGGGAGACCGCGCTTGTCTGGGAGCCCCACCCCCCCGCTCACTGGTGTGGGGTAATGCCGTCGCCGGGATTGTAACAACAAGCTGGCGGCCTTGCTGCCGCCGCGATGAGGCTCGCCGTGATTGCATCCGAGGATCGACTTCCAAAAACATGAAAGACATGGAAACTGTTGCTTTAGGCGTGCCACTTTGTGATTTTATTGTCTCCCCTTACCATGTACCCTTTGCGTTGAGAAGTTTAGGGACCTATTTTAGCGGCAACAAGACACCGAAAGCAACATTGGCCGGAACGTTTGCACCACAACCTGAAGGTTTGCCTCGCTGTGTGTAATTTGTCTTAAGGATAAAAAACAACCACCCACGTTAGGGAGAGGGCCGACTGCCCCCCGCTGCGTGGCTGTCTTCACGTCAGGGAACGTGTTTGTTAAGTTGCTTGCATGCACTGTTGATGCACTTGCACATTCATCCTTGTTCATTTTACAACCCAGGGTTTTGATGGAGAATTTTTTTTCTTTTTTTCAAATCCTCAAGACACGTCAAATTATATCCAGTTGAGTTTTTTTTGTTTGGAGCAGTCCGTCCCATTTTTCACCTGACACTGGTTTCCCTTCAAGCACTACCTCTTGAGTTTCTGCACTTAACCGCCGAAGAGCTTTTAAACATCTTTTGCCGTTTTTTTATGTTTATGCTAGTTGAGAAGAGTCTGAAAAAAACTAAATCTTATACAGTTTCATGGAAGCGTTGTTTTAACAAAGTCTTTTCTGAAAATGTACAAACATTGGTGTGTTTTTTGTCATCCAGCAAATAGACTAACATGAAAAAAACAATGTTCTGCTTGGGCTACATCTGTTAATTTGCAGCTTGAGCTTGGATATTGCTTGAGCTAGAAAATGTCTGCATAAGAAAAAATGTCTGGCTTCTGTTAAATTCTGGAGTTGCTTGCATTATTTTTTTTGTGTTTAAAAAAATGTCATTTAAAAAATGGTGTAAGACCGACATGGGTATGAAAGGCCGTTAAACCACTTGATGTACGACATGTGCATCTGCTTGGGTTGTTGCTCTTGGCAAACTTTTTACCTCCCTACGAATGGGGGAACCCGACAAGAGGAGTCGTGAAGCACTGAAAGAAAATGTTTGGCCTCTGCAACACTCGGTCAGAGACGAAAGATGCCCCTTGGATTGCAACCTCCCCACCTCACCCCCAAGATATCATACTGACTTTAAAAACAAAAGTACATTTTAAGTAAATGGTGAACGTAAATATTTTTGAAAGCTGCCTTTTGGCACTTTTGTTTTAAAAACATTTTTACCGGTATAATCTCTAAAATATTGAATTGCATCCGCTCACGTTAAGGCCAAACCGTAATATTATTTTCTTTGAGGTGCTCGTTTTCTCCGTGAAATGTTAGCTCTCCCATCCCCAGGACAACGGAGAGGAAGCGTCGGGTGACGAGTGCGCAGTCATCAAGTATCGTTGCTTTGGCTCAACATCTTTTTTAAGTCCAGCCGGATTTTTTCCCCCGGCTTCACCGGACTGGAGTTGACTAGGATACTCGGGTTATGGGTCATGTTTTCTCTCCCCCCCCCCACCCTCCTCACCATTTATATAACCCACAGCGGCTTGTGAGTTTTAGAACATTGTGCTTGTTGTGAATAAGTCCACGATTATTGTTGTGCGTGCATTTCGCAAGGTCAGCTGCAGTAGTTAAGCCTGTTTTTTTCAGGGGTGACGCATTTCCTGGTAGATCTTTGCAACTTGTGCTTGTCGTTTGATCGTCCGCTTTTGGCACAGGTTCGTGGTGGTGGTGGTGTTTGTGGCTATTTTTGCTTAACTTTTAATGACCGTTAATGCTCCAACATACATAATTAAAACACCTTAGCATTATCTAAATCTCATTAACAGTAATGTTGATATTGTTATTTTTGTAAGTAATATTTTTTTGTAAATAGACCTTGTGTACAGTCATTTGCGTAAAGAAATTCATACAAACTAGATACTGATAATTATACCCCCAAGGCTTCGTGAAACGGACGTTACGGTAGTTGCCGTTTGCACTCCGCTAAGGTTATACTTCTCTGTTCCTTGTGAGTGTCGGTCATGGTGCGCCATGCACGCTCTCTCCTCCCCGCTGTCGTGAATCGAGACACATGGTGTTTTCAGGTTCAGCGTCTCTGCCAACATGAGTAAAAAAAAATGCAGTACAAAACGTTGTACGCCAGCAACTATCGCGCTGTTTTCTCTCCAGAGTTGCGTGGATGTGTTGTGGTCATTGAATCGCTGGGGTTGCTGGATTGGTCCATTTGTACACACCTGCTCGCAGTTTCCACTCAAAAGCCACATCGGTTAACAATGACAATTGTTACCTTTTTAAATCTTCGTTAAGGAAGGGGCCCCACTTAAATCTTGAAGGGGTCTTTCAGGATAGGGCTGTTTTAAGTGTCGGCCAACTCCGTTTTGAGATTTTTAGTCCTGTTGGAAAACTCGAGTGCCAAGCAAAGAGAATTACTTATGTGTGGAACACTCAAAGCACAGATATGTGAAAAGCGTGTTGGCTGTATTTATTTCTACAACCAGATAGCTCTCATGCATACGGTAGATCTAACTGTAAATGTTATCGATCTTATCCCCCCCCCCCCCCACTGCATGATCCACCAACCTGATTTTCAAAGTCTGTGCCACCACACCGATCAGTATTTAGTATTGCCGCCTGGTAATACCGTAGTGTGTGCACTTGCAGGCGTGTTTGGCAGCATTTGTGCTCTTGCCACAGCTCCTTGGTATCGCTACACATTACTCACGAGAGAGCATTCCTTCACCTTCTGTCATTAACACCGGCTTAGGCGTACTATTTGCCATTGTTATGGCAGATGCAGAGGGCAACCAGAATGACTTTGTTGGATACCGCACGTCATTGTGAGCACCTGGTGATTCGGAAACGCTGGAGAAAATTAAGAAAAATGTTTTTTCATGAACCGTTAAAAATGCACCGCTCGGTGTCTGCGAAATTGAAAACTGAAAAGCAAGTACAGGACAATATTTGCTTGTTAACCCAAGACATATCATTGCCTGAGGTTATAAAAAAAATTGTATCCTTAAAATAATGACATTACTTGTTATCTTTTGGAGCCTTCGAGTCAATGCCCAACAGGTTAGCCTGCTATGCGCATTTTAAGGCTGGTCATGATCAAGATTGTGTAGCATTCGCTCTGCTTGTGTGAAGCAGTTCTATTCCTAATTTGTAACTCCGCTGTAACATTTGCACAGTACGTACAGTGATATTAGAAAATCATTTATTCCGTGGGTGGTGATACAGTCCTGCCTTGTGGATAACGACAACTGAAATTTGCATGTTTTTTTCGTCATGTGGGAGATGTCTCAACTCCACCGTGTCGGTATGGGTGGTTTAGGCATCGTCTCAGTGATCTCTTCAAACTCATGCAACTTCGGTCCCCAGAGCATTGGCCTGCAATTGCATCTGGAAGCGTGTATGTCCCATTAAATAGACGTGCGTGCCAGGATTCTCAGGTCCATTTCTTGGACCCTTGAGACAATTGTTTTAAGACAGATTATTGGGTTTTGGTGGATTTTAAGATTCTACACCTCAACTTGCAGCAGGGCACAGGCTAACAGAGCCCTTTACTACGTACATTAAGTCAACAATGCTAATGTTTCCTGATTCATTTGGTGATGCTGCCTGCGTTGGCAGTGGCACACAAGTACAAATAACAATGACACTAGCCTTAAAAAATAAAATCGGTGACGTTCATGCAATGAACTTTCAGAGCACAGAGTGGCCCAGAGGGATGTAGAGTGGACCCGAGTTGGAGACCACTCCTGGTATTCCACGGGACATGGTCATATTAAAATAAAAAAATATATTTATTGATACCAGCTTTTGCATGATCCCACACTAATTGATGCATTCCTCGGCTCAATTGTTATTTAAATCGGATTGGAGCTCCTATGGACTGTGGGTCAAAGATACCAAAGGGGTTTTCCAATTATTTGTAATTCCTGAACTTTGCAAGCAGGATGAAGCAACTTTAATTATTGCCCTCGCTGGCCTTTTCTAAACTGAGAAATGTGTTTACAAACATGTTCCAATAGGTGGTTGGTACACTATTAGATCCTAACAAGTGTAACGTTTTCTCGTTTAATTGTCCAACTGTTTTAAACGCAGGCAAGAGGCGTCATTTGATTTAAGCTGGCTTTTGTTGACTTTGTGCGTAGTAGCCCCTATGCTGCGTTGTGTGCATCTCGCTTTGCAGTCGGGGGAAAAACACGCTTCCTGGTTGAAACGTAGTCCCAACTCCTCGATGTATAAATGTGCGACTTTAACCTGAACACGGGCAGTGCATAACCCTATACGAATACATTGCCTGCCTGCATTATGTAAATCGGGTGGCGCTGCGGTAAAGGAGAGTTTCCTGTAGATGCGTTAGGTGTCAAGTTATGTCATAGTGATACGTAATTATTACACAATGAGCGCCCTCCCCGAACCCTGTAGGAATTAGACCCGATTGTTTATCTACAGTGAGCTCACAGGCCCATGCTATGCGGCTCACGGGGTGTGCGTCCGTCGTGTATTTATGCGGGTGGCAATGTGCGCGCGCGCGTGTTGTAACAACCAATGGCAGTCTAGAGAAGTTGGTGAATGACGAGACCCAAAAATAATGCCCAGGGTCTGGCCTCGGGGTGCGGTCTTGTGACTTTAGTGATATTAGTGAAGGTGCTTACCTTTGTTGCATATAGGTGGGGGGTGGGGGGGGGTATGGGGGAGGAATAGCCTCCTGTCCAGTGTTACTTGGCAAACGATGAAACTTGTCTCCGTTTCTTCTAGAACTGGAGACTACAAACGTCCTATTTTGGAGAGTACCACGTTGCATTTCCACCCGTGTTGTATAACGTCACATTAGCCTTGTGTTGAAGAAAATACATCAGCTGTGTGTGGATACAATATATGGAACTGTGGCCCATGGTATATTATACCTTTATTTCTCCCCACCCTTCAACTTTTACTGCGTTAAATTACAAGCTAAGGTGTTTGTGCAATCGGCCACCGATCCACGTGTCGATTCAAGATGGTTTTGTGCACTAGTTGCTCCCAACAAAAATGCTCCGAATGAGTGTTTTGTTTAAAAATGTCATTGGGGAGAACGGCTTTGCTCACGATTGTAGACCCCATCCACAATTTAAGACGCTGCCTTCTCGTAGACGTGGGTTTTATGAGGATGGAGCGCATCAAGATAATGCGTACGGCTGCGTTAAATATCCATCAGTAAATACATCTACATTCCTATCTTAAGAGTAAATATTCCTGGTCAAACAATGGGGTGGGTGACAAATCTATAGTGATCCTCAAGTGGTTGGAAGTTCCACATTCCCATGGAAAGTGTCTACGATTAATCCACTATTCATTTTTAAATAATACTAACTTTATCGAACTAAAGCGATGGACATTTCCACTGGACTTCCGACTCGATTTGGGCTGTTTGCCATGGTACAGCCACCTACTGTTGCCATTTTGCGCGCGCACATTTTAAATTATATAAAAAAGGCCAAATAGTGCACGCAAAAATCCCCTGATAACAGCAAAAAAAAACTATTTTAACGTTTGCTGGTCAAACGATGACGTTGAAGCTTACGCGATGTTGCGTACGACGTGCGTGCAGTGTGACCCCAAACACAAAGTAAAGATTGCTGCACCCAGGATTTTTCGTGCAACCTGACATGCGTTCAAACTTAACTCCACTAGACTACTGCGTATCCTTCGCACTAAATGGGCCTGATTATCAGATTGTACTCGGACTGCATTTGGTTGTCGTGTACACAAACGCACCAAAAACATAACTTTGCCATGAACGGGGTACCCTTAATAACAAAGGTATTGAGGATTTATGATTAAATGATAATCGATTGCATTGTTCATCCATGGTTAGGGGCCAGTTTTCTAACAGGATAACCACCCTTGGTTTCTTAAAAGCATTAGTTGCCTATGTTTGCTTTCCTGGAGGGATGATGGACTTTTTAACGACTCCGGTTTAAAGAAAACACGCTTCCAGCTGTGAACGCTTAGGATGTATCCCGGTGTTTCAAGTAATACGTATTTTTGTCGCATTTGGTCACACGCTTGCCACCAAAAGTAGAATTACGGTATTCCCTCGCTATTCGCGACGAGGGATAAGTTCCGGAGATGCTCGTGAGTAGCAAATTTCGCGGATAATGATATTGGCTGACGAATTTCCTTGAATCAATAAATAAGCCTCATATACATGGAAATGATAACACAAAAATTGTTATCGTGTAAATGTTACTTTAAAATATGATGCTGCACAGTAGCATCATCATCACTTTCTCGCATCACATTCTCTCTCACCACTTAACTCTCTCGATGCAGTCGTCGTTTTGGGTTCCAGTTGCGATTCGCGTATAGCAAAGTCCGCGAATAACAAGGGAATACTGCGATCCACTTTTAAGCTTCTAAGCATTTTTATCTGATCTTGTTTAAAAAAAAAAGCAAGAGGTCATGAATGGACATGTTCAATTGGTCGTTGTAAGAGGGCGAGAGAAGAAATCATATAAACAATGATTGAGGGGAGGAAATCCTCATCGTGTCTCCTGCAGATTTTGACGGTGGGGCGTGCAACTGCCGTGTGTGCAGAATTGCCCCGTTAACATTTGTAGCCCAACAGTTTTACGCGGTCAGCAGAAAAAGAAATAAACTCAGTTGTGGATGACGTCACATTTTATTGTATACATAACACCAGCGTGGTTTAACAATTGATTTTCTTGGGCATTTTAACTGTTTCTGCTCTTTTGGACTTGCTGGGTTTCACGAAAATGTGTTTGTTTTCCCCCCTTCCCATTTTAGAGGGGTTCCGTTTAAAATGTTCTAAAGTTCGGGCATGCCTTGGACTGGTACCTATTGTTTCAACAACATTTGTTGTCAAGTGTTTTTATTTTAACTTTTTATACGAGTAACGGTCGCGTACACACACACGAGTGTTTTGAAGGCAACTGCAGTAATTGCTCATAACCAGGTGTTGCCCATTGGAAGGTGATGTAAATATGTTGTGCTGATTAAAAAATCTTACCCCTTTACCAGCCATCCTTTATCTCTTCCTGACAGCGCATTGCATTGCTCCATCAGGCTGCACTGGATGGGGCGCCCAAGGTTGAATCGACGTGGTCCTAAATCTTGGGTGACATTTGCACGCACTGGCAGATCGGAAACGTCCAACCATCGAAACCTCATTTTGCCGATGTATACATTAAATTTTGATTTAAAGCTTTCGTGACTGCAGGGATTATATTCTTGGTTCTTTCGGTAAAGTCACGTAGAAGGGAAATAATAATATAAAACAATATTTCTATGATTTTATTATTTTCCTTCTAAGATGTACACATTGTGCAATTTTCAGACGCCAATGTGGATGTTCACATTTTTGTTGGTTCACTGGGTCAGAGTACAGCTGGCAAGATTCGAATCTGGGCAGCTGCCCTCGATTTATTTGACTGGGTTCTCGAGTGCACTGGTTTATCGCCGACGACTGCACACAAAATAAAACCCCCATCCACAGTTTGTATTTTTCCCTCTCCTGGTGCTTTCCATGTCTGACATGAGACATTTTAATGTCACATGCTGTGAACACTACTTGTGAGACTTCTAATGTCTTCGCGAGTAGTGTCTTGTCCTCCGGGGCCGTTCTGTCACGGCGATGTCCTGCTCACCAGGTGCTCAAAGGAAATGTCTCTGCCTCATGACATTGCTCAAAGCACAATCGGAATTTAAAATCCCCCTTTTGATATTTTAGCATTAGCCTTCTCCCTCCTAGCCTGATTGGTTTGTACGCGTCTTAAATGTTAATCCACTTAAGTCAGTTTGAAGTGTGGAACATTTGTGCTTTGGAGGTAAGGTTGGTGGATCATGTAGATTAGGAGGCCGCAATCAAAAATAAGAACCATCTTTTTCGAAAAACCCTTCCAAGAGCCGCAATGCATGCGAATGCAGACAGTGGTCCTTAAACACATTCCTGCGTATGGAGCTGGTAGGAACGTTGGGTTGCTCGGTCAATGGCCAGGGTCAACGGCGGCGTGGTGTATTCCGCAAATATGGCCGACTGTGAGGGCGGGCACGAGCCGGCGTGAGTAGGTTAAACGTTGAGTTTTATAAGGGCACCACGGGGTGACCAGCCCCTCCCCACCCAGCCCCTTCCCTCTCCACCCAGCCCCACCCCTCCCATTTTTGGATGCACGACGGACGGACGGACACTAATCCCCTGTGGGCTGGTGTGACCAGGAGGTTCCAACCAGTATAACGTCACGAATCGGTCCTTAGCCACCACATGCGGCTTTGGAGCCCACACAGGTCGATGGCAAGGGGTGATTCTTAGGTGAATCGCTTGCCTGTGGAGCTTTGAATGGTATTCGCACGTTTTGTCTCACAAACCAGTAATGTACATTCTCCAACCATCCCTGTGCAGCACCCTTCTGAACATCTTGGGGCTCTGCATAGCCTTTGGTGGGTAACAAAATAATTAATATTCATTCAAATATTTATTTGCTATCTGCCGACACTTTCTGCACGCTCCTGATTGCAAATTGGGCCCTCATGGTGTTTTTGGAGAGTTCTTACAACACTTAAGAGCCTCACAGAAGTCAAAACCGGTCCGATGTTTACCTTTGTTTAAAATAACCCGAATATTAAAAAAAAACATTTAGTCTAGAGCAGAAGTGGGTGAGCTTTTCCCAGGACAAACCAAGGACTTTCAAATATGTTGTTGGGGCCACACGTTGACACCGCCTTGGTGTCGTCCAATAATAACGCAAAAATTGAACTTTCACGTCCACTGCACGTAAAGAGGCCCTTGCAGTCATCGTACCGAGCATGTCAACTTATTATTTTACCAGGGAAGACCCACTGAGCTGTGTATAGCTGTTTTTCAAAAGCGACCTCGCCACAAATGATAGCTCTAAGAAGTTGCGTATCAATCATGTGGAAATTTATTGCCACCAAATACATCATTCGACCTCCTTTGCCAGTACCAAAATATAATAGGAGTTTCCCCCTTTTTTCTGGCAACAAAACTGAAACCTGTTGGCGTCCTCTGGTCTAGCACCAATTGAGACGAGGCTCAAAAGAAAGCCGTCTCTGGTGTGGACCAATCAGATTCAAGGACAATGCATATATTATCAGTGTGTTTTTTGTTTGCATTTTGACCACAAGCATTGTGGTTAATGCACACATGATTCCTTGTAAAAGGTTTCAGTTTTGTTAGAAAACAAAGGGGAAACCCCCTATTATCACCAAATACTCTTAAAGGCGTCACGATTCTAAATGAGGGAAAACCCGGAGGACTCTGTGAAAAATCCACGCGACCACGGGGAGAACCCGCAAACTCCAAATATCTCGGCGCCAGGGTCCAGATCGAACCTACGACCTGCACACCAGGCGAGGTAGTTAACATCTCGCCACCTTGATGCCCAGTACAAAAATAACCCCCTTCTCGTACCCGATTTGTGTGGCTAAGATGCTTGCAGCAGCAACAAATAAATGTGAGCAATTTCCAAGTGGCCTCATGTTGCCACAGGTCATGTTCCCCACCCCTGGTCGAGAAGGTCCATTGGTCACCGGACTTGCAACAATTGTTGGCAATTCAATAGTCTCTGATTGCGTGTTAATTTCTAAAGACTGCACAAGGAGGGACGTGTCCATTGGCATGCAGATACTGAGCCGAACCCCATATTGGAGATTGTGCCAAGACAGGGCAGAACAGCTCCGAATTAAGTTCGTCTCTTTCAGGAAGACCCCAGGGCCGGCCCAGGACACGCTGCTGGCAGGACGCTGTCTCTCAGCTGGCCAGGGAATGCTCCAGGAAGAGCTAGAGGCGGTGCATAATAGTGTATAGTAGTGTAGAATGTATAGTAATTTATAGTAGTGTATAGTAGTGTCATGCTGGAGTCTGTCGCCAGGGACAGGCAGGTCTAGACCGCCCCCTACTCAATATGCTGCCACGGCGACCCTCACCAGGACAAGTGGATTGAGAAACGAACCAACTTTCAGGACGTTACTTTTTAATGTAACTATAATTTTTGTGTACCTTTAACCTCACTGGTAGTTTCACGCTCGTAAAAAACAAAACAAAATCAGACGCATGCAACAGACCGTTTTTTTATTCATCACAGCCACCGATTTGTAAAGGAATACAGCAAAGTCGGTTTATCCATGCTCAAATGCTCAAACAAGCACGGGCCGGTGGATATCATTACTGGCCACCCTGAGCCAGTGGAGGAAATTCCACATTCCTATGGAGGGAGGCCTGTCTCCCCACAGGATGACTCTGAGTAGCTTATAGCAGTGGTACTCATTTTGATTGAAAGCTTTCCCGACTGCAGGGATTCATATTCTTGGTTCTTTCGGTAAAGTCACGTAGAAGGAAAATAATAAAATAATACAAATATAAACAATAAAAATTCTCACGTTTCGACTGCAACACAAGCAATCATCATCGGGTGTGAAATCCACAGCAAGAAAATTTGATTTTTTTTTGGGAAAAACCGCCACTTTTTTAATTTTTCTTGCTGTGGATTTCACACCTGATGATGATTGCTTGTGTTGCAGTCGAAACGTCGTGAGAATTTTTATTGTTTTATATTTGTATTATTTTATTATTTCCCTTCTACGTGACTTACCGAAAGAACCAAGAATATGGTACTCATTTTATCAACCCCAAATGGAATGGTGGGCCGAGTTGACTTGGCCTTCTCACGTCTTTGCCTCGACCCAAACTTCAAAAGGGTGAAGCCCAATTGCGGAAACAAAAACTCCTGCCGAGAAAACCGCGTCGCACGATAACATTTTTCAAAGCGTGGCTATCCCCAACAGTACGGTCTGTTCTCCTATAACGCCTCGGTAGTTGTCGCGTTCCTGAAGAACTCCGCGGTATGGAAAAACCGTGTGATAATAAATAATATAAGGTAAAGCACAGTCCGCGATAACACGTGAGATGCGTACGCAGGCTGGGCCAAGACTGAGGCGCGTGGGTAGCATCTAGAAGCATCCAGCAGCATCCATTGTGTGATGCTACGCCGAGGCAGCCGTACAACCACTTATTCCTCCTCGCGCGACGTCGCTCAGTTCACTCAATCGTGTTATATTTCCAATTCGTATCCGCGTTAGAAAAAAAACGCATTCCCAAACACATTCATCGCATTATAGCCAATTCGTGTTATGAAAACAACACGCGCGTTGTAGGAGGAACAGACCGAGCAAGGTGGGTTGGCTTATATGGAGGACAGGAAGTCTTTGAGGCTGCCCTTCTGCTGCTGCCTCTGCTGCTCCATCTGCAGCAGCTGCTTGAGCTGAGCGAAGGGTTTCCGCTTGGCGCTGCCGGGCGTACTGGCAGCGGGAGACTGCGTTGACCTGCTGGTGGGGTGGGGCGTGGGACAAAGAAAAGGTTTCAGTTTCATTTATTAGGATTTACCCTGTGAGCCATTCGGCTCTTGATTTGGGTTCAACCGCAACAAGCAATACAATTACAAGATACACCTAAAATTCATTGCACACAAATCTAGACATCACGTATGTAGTAAACAATAAAATCTTACAGAAAAAGCACAACCCGTCCATGCTGCATACAGAAAGTGCAAAAAAATCTATTTCGATGTTTGATCCCAATAACAATCATAATACAATACACATAAAAAATTTAAGTATAAATCTATACTAAATAAAAAAATCGGGCAAAACAAAGCCCCTCTAAAACGTACTAAGACAATGCTGTATAAACAACGTAGCAGTTTTCCCAACAAGGGGGCGGCTCTCATTGTTTGGGCTCATCGTAACGATGATGACGACAATTTGTGCGTTTCGTGCCGTGACACGGCAAGCCCGGTGATAACAGGGGGCGCCAAGACCGTGCGTCGACAAGGAGTCGTGATATAAAATCGGAAATCTTCATTTCGACTGTCTGCTGCTGCTGCTGCTGCAGGAAGAGGAGGAATCCGATGAGCTGTGAAGCTCTTTATTCACACACGTCCAGTCGGGTTCAGCGAGTTAAAACAGAGCAGCAAACAATACAAAAAACATGACGGGAGTGAACATTTTTGAAAATGGTTAAGCTAGTCACAAAATATAAATATTCAAGTTTGATTTATCAGGACTGGGCAAAGCAACAAAAAACAATAACAACGCCAGTCCCAGACCACACCAAGATAACACCACACAGTAGTCCATTTATAAAGTGGCACACGAACACGTTGACAGGTCCCGTGAAATGTCTACTCCCACCACCCAGGTGATTAGGTTGGAGTGGTGAGATTCGGGGTCACGATCCTGTTTCGAAAAATCGATTATTTCTGTTCACGTTGAGGTGACCGGTAGAACGTTTCGTCGCTGTACGGGGGCGAGGACGTGCAATTTAATATACGCACCCACCCGTGAGCTTGAACGTCGATATTAATCGATGCGTTGTTCCACCCTTAAAGTCAGTTAGGGCCATGGCCTTGGGCAATCGTGGATGGAAACCTTCACCAGCAACGCGTTTACTACAAACAGCTGTCCTCCTCCCCCCACCCCGCGCACCTCCGACTAGCACGGTCGGCTACGTACGGTTTCGAAAGAAGTTCAACACACGCACATACATGCAATTAACATCGCAACACTGCTATACGAAGAAGGCCCATTACCCCAAGTGTCTCCTCTAACAGTTCCCTTTAAGGGCCACAGCGTTAGTCGCTAACGTTGAGTTTTTTAGCTCGGCGTTCATGTGCTCGTTGAGGGCCGCGCCCTGTGTCGCCTGCCGCGTTGCCACTGGGAGTCTCGAGGGGGGGGGGGCGGAGATCGGACTGTGCAACCCCCACAGACTGCGTCAAACTTCCTCGTGTCGTCCGCATGCATCCAAGCATACGTCACCCATTGGTTATCAGAGCTCCCCTCTCGATGTTCCCTCCACGGCAACAGAAGCGACCCAACGGCAGCGCTCACTCGGACGCAAGCGCAGGAGGGGACATCTTTTGTGGGGGGGATTTGGCACCTGGGCGTGGTGGCTGCCGGGCTGGCGCGCGGTGTTGCCCTGCCCCTCGGCGTGGTCGGCGTCCAGTTGCCCGGTGTCCGTGACGCCGCCGGCGTCGTTCTGCCGGACGCCGCCGGCGTCGTTTTGCCGGATGGTGTCGACTCGCCGGACGCCGGCGTTGCGCGTCGCCTGCGGCGCCGGGCTGTGCCGCCGTCGACGGCGGCGCCACCCTCCGTCGCGCCGGCGTCGTGGCGGCGGCGGCGGCCGTGACGCCGGTGGCTCAGGGTCGCGGCGATCTCGGCTCGCGAGCCGCCACGGACCCGGGACGTCCTCTTGCAGGTGAAGCACGCTATGGACTTCCGGGGGAAGTGGGACGGGGGGGGGGGCGGGTGGAGGGGGCGGGTGGGGAGGTGGCAGGGGGGGGTGAGCGGAACGATTGGTTGAACGAGCGGAATGATTGGGCCGAGTTTAACGAGGCAGCGGTGAGAAGAAGTCGAGCACGCGGGAACGCGGCCATTCACGAACGGGGTTGGTGGATCACGGCGAAGACTGTGTTCGTGTGTCGAGACCCAGAGAGCTTGCGGGCTGCAAGCGTGGACACAGGCGCGGCAGCAGCGCCAGCGAGCTCACGAGTTGTCCCCTCGCTCGCTCGCACGCTGCGTGTTCCCTCCGGGGAGCCGGGCTTCCCCTCACGCTGTGCCAGTCATGGCGGCTGTTTTGACCGTACTTGACCCCCATGCTCGTGAGCGGAGGTTCAAGGTAACTTTGTTCACCCCGGTGAGAACGCAGGTGGAGACAAGGACGAGTCTCGTTTGGGAGAGTAACCCATAAACTATGAAGCTGTTTTTATTTTAGCAGGTAGGGCCCACGATATTTTTCAGAAGCGACCTGGCCACAAATGACAGCTGTATGTGTGAGCGTGAGCAGGGTGTTGACGGTATGTGTATGCAGTTTGGGCGGCGTGCCATGTGTGCAGTGTGTGAATGAGTGGTGTATATTGTTGTGTATGTGTGCGGTGTGTTGGCGGTGCGTGTGGTGTGCGAGTGCGGTATATGCGGTGTATGTGGTGTGTACGTGCGTGGTATGTGTTTGTGGTGTGTGTGGTATGTGTTTGTGGTGTGTGTGGTATGTGTTTGTGATGTGTGTGTGGTGTGTGTGGTGTGTGGTGCGTGTGAGGTGTGTGTGTGTGGTATGTGTTTGCGCTATGTGTGCGGTGTGTTCGTGCGGTGTCTGCAGTGCGTGTGCCGCGCAGCATTTTCAAGATGTGTTTGCGGTGTGTGTGTGTGCGGTATATGCGGTGCACGTGGTGCGTGTGTGGTGTGCGGGCGTGTAAGCGGCGCGCGTTTGCGGTGAGCGATGGTGACTTCGCGTGGCCGTCCGCGCGGCGTGACTCACGATGGTGCCGGCGGCGTTGCGGTGGCGACGCAGGCGCCGCGCGGCGCCCCGCTCCAGATGCTCTTTGCGGTCTTCCCGCACCGCCGCATCGCGCAGTAGCGCGGAGACGCGCGGAGACGCGGGGGGGCGCGCGCGTGGATGCACGCGCACGCGGCACGAGCCGGCGCCCAGCTCGGCGCCGCACAGCGCGCAGAAGCCCGTCAGGTGCCGCCGCCGGTCTGCAGAGGGTCGCCGGAGGTCGGTGAAAGTTAGCACCAGTGCACAAAGGGGTCTGGGTTCAATACCCGATTAAGCTGCCTTTTCTATGCGGAGTTTGTGTGTTCCCCTCCTGTTCCACGTGGGTTTCCTCCAGGTTCCCCATTGTCCGATTGCCGAGTTCAATTCCTGTTCACGGCCAACACCGGTGACGATTATCTGAACCGGTTCTGGGCCTCCCCTAGGTTGATCCTGCCTAAAATGACTACCTGGTGCGGTGTGTAAACAAGGCGGCCGGACGTGATGCTGGCCACCCACCCCCTTGTGTGCCACAGTGCTAGCCTTCATAGGTGCTACTCGCTAACAGCACTTGCCTTAACAGTCTGATCAGGCTATATGGGGGACCTTTGTCTTTGTGTGTGTGTGTGGTGGCACTGAGGACTGACCGACGGTGACTTTATGAGCAGCTGCCCATGTGGCCCGCTCCTTGTAGATGCACCTGCAGGCACACAGCACGGACCCACACATCAGCGCGGAAACGATTAATCGATCACGACAGATACACAAACTGGTCAGGTGACACAGCGAGCAGTTCGGCAACTAGAAAGGCGAGAGTTGAAATCCAGGTGCGGGGGGAGGGGGGGGGTTGACTCAGCCCATCATCCCTCCGGGGTTAAAAATAAAGAGTCACTTTGTTGGGACATCAATAATCCTCGTCCTATGAAAAGAATCGTCCCTGCCATGGGAACGTGATATTTGAGCAAAACAAATATTTCAACTTCTTGGTTCTTTCGGTAAAGTCACGTAGAAGGGAAGTAATAAAATAATAAAAATAAAACATAATGTTTTATTTTTATAATAATAAAAATAAAACATAATGTTTTTATTTTTATTATTTTATTACTTCCCTTCTACGTGACTTTACCGAAAGAACCAAGAAGATGAATCCCTGCAGTCACGAAAGCTTTAAATCGAAATATTTCAACTTTAAAGTTTCCTTAAATGCATCCCACTGGGCATGTCAAAATCAATTATTCTTTATTCATTCAACATATACTTTTTTAAGGCCACCAGTCAGACCAAATGAGATGAAGCAAACGAGACAGAAGAAGTACAGACAGTACAAGACCTCCGATGAGCACGGTTGGATACGTACGGTGCGAAAGAAGTTTAACATAAATACATAAATAACAGAGGTTTTTGGCTCGCAACAGCGTTTGGATAGCCATTGAACGGTCACTGCATTGCACACTTTCAGATGCGCTTCTGGAACGCTCTTCCTTGCAATATTAGGAAGCGACTGGAACTATGCACTTTTAAATCATCTCGATTGACAACTCGTCTCTATAGAACTGCTTTCTGTGTTCAGTTTGTTGTCCTTCCCCCATACCTCCGATTCGCACGGTTGGCTACGTACGGTGCGAAAGAAGTTCAACGTACAAAGTAGAATGAGAGTTCAAAGGAGACAGAACAGACAACGCAAACAAAGCAAAAAACGCGGAAGAGATGGCGTCAGAGGATGTCAGGGGATCTGTAAGTTCCACGGCGAAGCAGACGGGGGCGCAGTGCCATACGGTTACTACACCCGCAACAGTAATAACCAGGGTGGCCTACTGCATTCGAACCACGAACCTCTGCAACAACCCAGTAGACGTGCCAACGCTGGGCTCAACGTTGGCACGTGCTTGGAACCGTTGGACTAACATTGAAATTGATGTGAAGTAGCAGCTGTAATTTGACATCGAGGTGGTTAATGAGCCAGATGATTGTGGCGGGAGTAGCGGAGTGCATCACTGTGATGATGCCTCCAATGTGAGCTTATGGGTCTCAGTGTGAATCTATGGATCTTTGCGCGAGTCTATGGCTCTCTGTGTGAATCTTTTTATTTCTGTGCGAGCCTATGGGTCTCAGTGTGAATCTATGGATCTTTGCGTGAGTCTATGGCTCTGTGTGAATCTTTTTATTTCTGTGCGAGCCTATGGGTCTAAGTGTGAATCTATGGCTCTCTGTGTGAATCTTTTTATTTCTGTGCGAGCCTATGGGTCTCAGTGTGAATCTATGGATCTTTGTGTGAGTCTATGGCTCTCTGTGTGAATCTTTTTATTTCTGTGCGAGCCTATGGGTCTCAGTGTGAATCTATGGATCTTTGCGTGAGTCTATCGCTCTCTGTGTGAATCTTTTTATTTCTGTGCGAGCCTATGGGTCTCAGTGTGAATCTATGGGTCTTTGCGTGAGTCTATGGCTCTCTGTGTGAATCTTTTTATTTCTGTGCGAGTCTATGGGTGTCTGTGTGATTCTATGGATCTTTGCGTGAGTCTATGGGTCTCTGTGTGAATCTATGGATCTTTGCGTGAGCCTATGGGTCTCTGTGTGAATCTTTTTATTTCTGTGCGAGCCTATGGGTGTGTGAATCTATGGATCTTTGCGTGAGTCTATGGCTCTCTGTATGAATCTATGGATCTTTGCGTGAGTCTATGGCTCTCTGTATGAATCTGGGCCCCGCAGTAAACCGCAGGGCCAGGGTCACCGCCGGGTCCCCGGGGGTCACCGGCGAGCCCCGGGGTCACCGCCGTCTCGCTCACCGCAGGTACCGCGCCTGCTCGGGGCACGCGGTCGCCAAGCTCCCCGCCGCTTTCCACAGGAAGTTCAGGTGGCTGGTCACCATGCGCGTCTTCTCCGTCAGGTCGTGCATCCTGCAGAAAAAACGATCGCGCGGCGAGCCGCAGCGCAGTTGTTGATACGCCGCCGCCGCCGTACCGCCCCGCCGCCCCGGCGTTAACGGTTTGCCACAACCGGAGCGGAATTTGCTATCTCCCGGTGCGGCGGCTGAAACGATGGGCAGGTTTCTCAGAGCCACCACCAAGCGCCAGAGGTCGCAATCGGGTACCCGATACCCGTACCCTACCCGATACCCGGCTACCCGTACCCGACCGGGTACGGGTATGGGTAGCCGTTTGCGACCCTGGTGCGGCCGGGTACGGGTAGGCCGTGAGTCACTGGTGAGTCACCGTTTGTCACTCATTTCGGGTAGGGTATCGGGTAGGGAACGGGTACCCATTTGCGACCCTGGTGCGGCCGGGTACGGGTAAGGAATCAAAACCCGTTTGCGATCTCTGCCGAGCGCCTCTCTGTCCCCAAGTGGGGGAGGCCGAGCGTCCGCCCTTGGGCCCACTTGGTTCACGCGCAATCACAACAAAGATAAAGATCCCCCCACCCCCGAATATAGCCTTCAACTGATGGGGCATGTGCTGTTAGCGCGTAGCACCTATGAAGGCCGGCACGGCACACGAGGGGGGGATGGGTGGCCAACACCACGCCCGACCGCCTTTGTCTCCCCAGTGGCGATGTTTACACACCGCGCCAGGTACTAATTTGAGGCTGAGTCGACCTAGGGGAGGCTCAGGACCGGTGCAAATAATCGTCACTCGGTGTTGGCCGTGAGCGGGAATCGAGCCCGGGTCGCCAGGTTCGTAGCGCAGCGCGCTAACCACTACACCACCGCTCCCCACTAACAATATCAATGTAGTTTTACAGCGTCGGCTTTCGCGGCCAATATCATCCATAATAGGTTGTTTTTGTGTGTTAGATCGCGTAAATATATAAATGTGTCGTTAAACCCGCCACCACCCGACACAGCCAACTAGTAAGGTTTGTCACGTAAACAGAACGTGGCCAATTCTTCACTACTACAGCACACCGCTTGTGTTGATACTTAGATTGTAAATGTTGTGGCTTGGCTCTCCAACACACCGGTGTGCTGTACTAGTATACTACAGTATACACTACACTATATGCTACACTATGCACTACACTATACACTACACTACTACAGTATACACTACACTATATACTACATTATACACTACACTATATACTACACTATATACTACTACAGTATACACTACACTATACTACTACAGTATACACTACACTATACACTACACTATACACTACACTATACACTACAGTATACACTACACTATATACTACACTATGCACTACACTATACACTACACTACTACAGTATACACTACACTATATACTACATTATACACTACACTATATACTACTACAGTATACACTACACTATATACTACAGTATACACTACACTATATACTACACTATACACTACTCTATATACTACACTATACACTACAGTATATACTACACACTGTATACACTACACTATACACTACACACTATATACTACTACACTATACACTACACTATATACTACACTACTATACACTACACTATACACTACAGTATACACTACACTATATACTACACTACACTATACACTACACTATACACTACACTATACACTACACTATACACTACTAAACACTACACTATACACTACACTACTATACACTACAAACTAGTGCTGTACTAGTGAAGAATTGGCCCCGTTCTGTTTACGTGACAACCCTTACTAGTTGGTTGTGTCGGTTGGTGGCGGCTTTACCGACACATTTATATATTTACGCGATCTAACACAAAAAACTACATTAATGTATTTAGTTTACACATCCCATCAGTTCTGTTACAGCATGCGACCCTGTCTGCTTATTAACCCTGCTACTTTGTATTCTCCACAACGACCCGAGCACGAATCCTTACAACATTAAAGTGTCGGGCCCGCTGCACCGTCCAGTACTCGCAAAGCCTCCCAGACACGACTGTTAGAAAGAGTTCTATTGTATACAAGAACAATCACAATACATCGGCTCTTACAATTTTCTGGCAATAAACAGAACAACTTTTGCAATTAATTATAGTGCATTAGCCACACCGCAGGACGTGTTACGAACACGCTCCGATTGAACGCGTGCATTGCCTTTGAAAGCCACTCGGCCTTCCAGACACGACTGTTGCGCCTTCTCTTGTAACCAATCATTTAAAAAACATTCGCCCACGGACTCTTCAACTCCGTTAAAGTCGAGATTTGTATGGTGACGACGAGCATGAAATAAACGGGCTTTGTATTCTTGGTTCTTTCGGTAAAGTCACGTAGAAGGGAAATAATACACTATTTTATTGTTTTCTATTTGTATTCTTTTATTTCCCTTCTACGTGACTTTACCGAAAGAACCAAGAATATGAATCCCTGCAGTCACGAAAGCTTTAAATCAAAATTTAAACTTCACCTGCTCGCTGCTTGCTATTGATGATGATGCCGGTAACCAGCCCGCAACGACGACACGTGCGTGTGTACAGTGCAAAGCAGGAAACACGTGCGCATGTACAGTGCAAAGCAGAAAACACGTGGTCCGGTCAGTTTGCACTCCGGCTTACGCACCGGTAGATGGCGCCTGTAATCTATTCGATATTCTTTGGTTGTTTCGGTAAAGTCACGTAGTTATTCTAACTTATTCTAACTACGCGACTTTGCCGAAAGAAACGACGAGTATGGATTCCTGCAGTCACGAAAACTTCAAATCAAGATTTATTCGATATTAAATAAAACAACTTACCGTCTGTAGGTCTCAAATAAAAACATCGAGGGTACTTGCCCGACACGGACGACAGCTGAGATTTGGTACGGAGCTCGCTTTTAAGACAAACAGAAAAATCTAAAAATCCGAGATTTTTTCATTTTAAGGCCCCCAAATCTGGATTTTAAGCGCCCCATAAATATTTGTGTCATTCAGAAAACGTTCATAATATCACATTTCTGTTTTTTTCGTTTGATAGAGCATTAAACAGCAAATAGAGTTAAAGCGAGAACCATTGTTCGATATATTGTTTTTTTCGTATTCAAATGAGTTTGAACGAAAAACAAGTATAACCCGTAAAAACAAAGTTTTTCACTATAAATCCTTTATATGCGTGGCGGCGAGAGTCCTCTCGTCCTCTGGCTTGAGATGGCTGCCACCTATGGGTCAGATGATTGCATTGCACCATTAAGCAATTGGTAATTAAATATAATATTTTTGTCCTAAAAAGTGTAAGATTTTGGAAAAAAATTTTCACGAACATTAATTGTCACGCACAACGAGTCTGTGTGCAAAATGTCAGCTCGATTGGATCACGGGAAGTGGGTTAAAAAATGACCGAAAGATTTGCACGGTCCTAAGCAAGCAAGCGAACTTAATATAAAGGATTTAAAAATAGTGATAGGAATGTTTACATTGAGCGGTTTCCAATGGGTACGTCTTTAAATATAAGAAGTTGAATCAAGTCGTCAACAATTAAAGTTTTTTTGCGGAAAAATACACATTTTTGGAGTAGCTGTTAGAGTCTCATCATAGATAACAAGTATAACCCGTAAAAACAAAGTTTTTCACTATAAATCCTTTATATGCGTGGCGGCTAGAGTCCTCTCGTCCTCTGGCTTGAGATGGCTGCCACCTATGGGTCAGATGATTGCCAGTATTAAGCAATTGGTAATTAAATATTTAATTTGTTTTCCCTAAACAGTGTAACATTTTGGAAAAAAATTCTCACGAACATTAATTGTCTCGCACAACGAGTGTGCAAAATGTCATCTCGATTGGATCACGGGAAGTGGATTAAAAAACGACCGAAAGATTTGCACGGTCGTAAGTTTGCAAGCAAGCACGCAAGCACGCAAGCACGCAAGCAAGCAAGCAAGCGAACTTAATATTAAGGATTTAAAAAAATTAACCCGTAAAAATAAAGTTTTTCACTATAAATCCTTTATATGCGTGGCATCGGGGCGGCTAGAGTCCTCTCGTCCTCTGGCTTGAGATGGCTGCCACCTATGGGTCAGATGATTGTCTGCCACCATTAAGCAATTGGTAATTAAATATTTTAAAAAATTTCCCTAAACAGTGTAAAATTTTGGAAAAAATTTTTCACGAAAATTAATTGTCACGCACAACGAGTCTGTGTGCAAAATGTCAGCTCCATTGGATCACGTGAAGTGGGTTAAAAAACGACCGAAAGATTTGCACGGTCGTAAGCAAGCAAGCAAGTGAACTTAATATAAAGGATTTAAAAATAGCAAACAATCGTATCAGGTTCATTATGAGATTTCTCGTACACCCGAGAAAATCACCGATTAGAGATTTACCCCCCCCCCCCCCATATGTGGAAGAGAGTGAGTGTGGCTTTGGCCTAAGGGGCGAATCTTTGCCCATACATCATAATATTTAGATGTCAGGAGGAATCCGATGAGCAATGAAGCTCTTGTTGTTCACAGATGTCCAGTCGGGGGCACGGGGTAAGCACGTGACAACAACAGTTACAACGAACACGCGGTAGGAGTGAAAGTACAAGAAATGTAAACAAATCACCATAATATTCTTGGTTCTTTCGGTAAAGTCACGTAGAAGGGAAATACTTTTCTTGCTGTGGATTTCACACCTGATGATGATTGCTTGTGTTGCAGTCGAAACGTCGTGAACATTTTATAGTTTAATATTTTTTATTATTTTATTATTTCCCTTCTACGTGACTTTACCGAAATAACCAAGAATATGAATCCCTGCAGTCACGAAAGCTTTAAATCAAAATTTAAATCACCCAAACACAAACAAATACAACAACACAAACCACCCCAATCGTACCAGACAAAGCCTGCCGAGGTATTTTAACTTCTAGTTCCAAAGCGACCTGGCCACAGACGATAGCTCAACAAAGTGGTCAATCATTTTGACACTCGTAGCAGCAACATAATATAGACGCAAAGTTTATACTTTTTAGATAAGGTCTTTTGGATCGTTACTCGCGATTAATCGTATTGATTACCGCTCAGTCGATCCATAATAAACAAACATCAACAACGCGGTGTCGAATTACAGATCTCCCCCCGGTCGAGCCGTATCAACAGACTGTTGCAGGGCCAGCAACCACGCCCGGCCGCCTTTGTCTCCCCACGATTACACACCGCGCCAGATACCCATTTGAGGCTGAGCCAACCTAGGGGAGGCCCAGGACCGGTTTAGATAATCGTCACCGGTGTTGGCCGTGAGCGCAGTGCGACGCAAACCGCAACCACTCCCGCAGCATGTAAACGAACACGCGAAGTTGTTTACCATCATGACCACGTGACGTTGTTTACCATCACGAACACGTGACGTTGTTTACCATCACGACCACGTGGTGTTGTTTACCATCGCGAACACGTGGAGTTGTTTACCATCACGATCACGTGGCGTTGTTTACCATCACGAACACGTGGCATTGTTTACCATCGTGAACACGTGGCGTTGTTTACCATCGTGACCACGTGGCGTTGTTTACCATCGTGACCACGTGACGTTGTTTACCATCGCAACCACGTGGCATTGTTGACCATCGTGAACACGTGGCGTTGTTGACCATTGCGCTTGCCTCACCCACAGGTGTAGCTCACAAGGTGCAATGTGTAGTCTATAGACTACACTACAGACTACACTACAGACTACACTATAAACTATACTACAGACTACACTATAAACTACACTATAAACTACACTACAGACTACACTATACACTACACTATAAACTACACTATACACTACACTATAAACTACACTATAAACTACAATATAGACTACACTATACACTACACTATAAACTACACTATACACTACACTATACACTACTACATTATACATTACACTATACACGACACTACTGTAGATTACACTATACACTACACTATAAACTACACTATAAATTACACTATAGACTACACTATACACTACACTATAAACTACACTATACACTACTACATTATACATTACACTATACACGACACTACTGTAGATTACACTATACACTACACTATACACTACTACACTATACACTACACTATACACTACACTATAAACTACACTATAAATTACACTATAGACTACACTATACACTACACTATAAATACACTATACACTACACTATAAACTACACTATACACTACACTATAAACTACACTATACACTACTACATTATACATTACACTATACACGACACTACTGTAGACTACACTATACACTACACTATACACTACTACACTATACACTACACTATAAACTACACTATAAACTACAATATAGACTACACTATACACTACACTATAAACTACATTATAAATACACTATAAACTACACTATACACTACACTATAAACTACACTATACACCACTACATTATACATTACACTATACACGACACTACTGTAGACTACACTATACACTACACTATACACTACTACACTATACACTACACTATACACTACACTATAGACTACTCACAGTGCGCTTGACTTACCCACAGGTGTGGCTCACTCACAAGGTGCACTCTCTACAAGTGATTCCTAACATTCACCGCAGCCTTGCACCCATTGGGTATAACGTCAATAAACACGTCGGATTTGATGAAACAAAGTTGTAACTCAAGTGCCCGTGCCTCATTTGTATTGTCGATGATTTGCCGTCTTTAAAAAAAAAATCTGGCCATTGTCTCGCCACCCCAAAGGGGCCGTCCATAAATGACGTCACGCGATTTTGGACGATTTTTTTACCTCCCCCCCGTCATACGTCGTCACAAAGCTCTGCCCCCCCCCCCAAAATAAAACATGCTTCAAATCGCTTTAAACTATTGTCATTGTAGTGCGTATTTAATGTGGCGCTGCACTCTGATGTTGTAGGAGAAAACGTTTATTTAAAAAGTCTATTTAATTCAGTAGAACGTTTTGATTTAAAGCTTTCGTGACTGCAGGGATTTATATTCTTGGTTCTTTCGGTAAAGTAACGTAGAAGGAAAATTATAAAATAATAAAAATATAAAACTATAAAAATTCTCGCGACGTTTCGACTGCAACACAAGCAATCATCATCAGGTGTGGATTTCACACCTGATGATGATTGCTTGTGTTGCAGTCGAAACGTCGTGAGAATTTGTATTTTTATATAAATATCATTTTATTATTTCCCTTCTACGTGACTTTACCGAAAGAACCAAGAATATAAGTAGAACGTGTTGTCTATATTAATTTAAAATTGTGCATTTTGATGTGACGTCACATTTCTCAAACGCCCCTCCCCCCCTCGTCACAAATGTCTGACCCCGCCCCCTCCCACCTCCTAGCTGCGTGACGTCATCGATGGAAGCCCCCACCGAGGGGGCATCTGGCACCCCAGGCCCCCAGCACCCAAGCAAGCACCACCGCTCTCAGCACCCGTTCCGGAATCGGTGTCCGCGTAGCCGCGGGAAAGGAACGCGCACGGCCTGCACCGGCAGCACGGGCTCTGGACTCGCGGCGGCTTCGTCCCCGTGCCGCAGGTTGTGGCAGCGGCGGCGGCGTCTTCGTCTTCGTCCCCGACCCCGCAGCTCCCAGGCGACGTGAGCTCGAATCCCGTGTTTTGTCGCTTGTCCTGCAGCGTCCGGGCGACACACAAATCATTTCCAGCCACTCGCGTGTTTAAGTTGATAAAAGTTCGACACGGCCAGCCACTGGTGACCGCTCCTAGACCTCGCCTAGGTAGACTCGGCCTCAAATGAGTACCTGGAGCGGTGGTGCGTAAACATCGCCACCCCGGGGGAGATGTTTACGTTGTTGCTGCTGCTCACCCACCTCCTCGTGTGCTGTGCCGGACTTTATAGGTTGCTGCTCGCTAACAACACTTGCCCCTACAGTTTGTTTACAGGCGGGAGATATTTGTTTTTTTATGTTCTCGCGGGGGGGGAGGGGGGGGTGTCGGGGTGCCTTGGCGGGCCGAGGGGCGCTGATCCCGGCGGCGCCGCTAGACCAGCGGCCGGCGTCGCGGCACCGCGCCTAGGCCTCGCCACTCTCTCGACCCGTAGCTGCTACAACGTTAATGACTCACTCGAGTAAAGTTATTAATTGTACTTTTGGTTAAGTAAATTGGTGTTCTCGTCGCTTGGCTGTTCAAGGCAAAGATGAGGCGTCATAACGTGTCCTTTTACAAGCGGAAAGTTAAACGAGCAGAAGATAAATTATAGTTGAAAAACACCCCTAATAACCGTAATAATTGACATAAATCAGCGTAACGATTTTCCCGTTATAAAATCAGCGATCTAATTTTCTTTTTTTGTTACAAATGAAACCGAGTTAAAATTTACTAAACCTATCATAATACGTTATTTTATTTAGAAAGTACGCGAATACTTTTTATTAATTAAAGTGTAGTGCCTAGATTTCCCTGGAGATTATACATTTCGTTTGCAAGGAGTGCGTGGGGTACATTGGAATTTTCCGTTTGCGTGGAGCCTTAAAGTGAAAATACTTAAACATGATCCGAATAATGGACCCGGCTTGCCGCAGAGCTAAAGGGCTTTGTTAATGGACGCATAAAGCAACTTGGTTGAGAATGTTATCTTAAAGGGCCCTCTCATCAGGATGAGTTGGGAGCAACTTCACTTGACAACATGAGATTTGTTTAAATTTTTAGCAGGTGAGCCACAACTGAGCTAAAAGTTATTTTGTCAAAAGCGACCTCGCCACAAATGATAGCTCAACGAAGTTTCATTCTGGTAGGAACCCATTGGTTCCACCAGCCCACAGGGGATTATTGTGTCCGTCCGTCGTGCAGGGAGGGGTTGGGTGGGGAGGGTGGGGCTGGGTGGGGGGTGGGAGGGGTGGGGCTGGGTGGGGAAGGGCTGGTCACCCCGTGGTGCCCTTATAAAACTCAACGTTTAACCTACTCACGCCGGCTTGTGCCCGCCCTCACAGTCGGGCATATTTGCGGAATACACCACGCCGCCGTTGACCTTGGCCACTGACCGAGCAACCCAACGTTCCTACCAGCTCCCTCCGTAGGAATGTGTTATCATGTATAGCCCTGTGAGCCATGCGGCTCTTGAGTCGGGTGCAACCGCAACAAACAGAAACATGAACAGAGAACATTAAAGCGACGACGAACGCGCAACAGAAACATCCTGGGATAAACCAGCAAATCTTCCAGAAAAAAAAACACAAAGTGGCTTATCACGTGGAAATGTATCGCAGCAGCCACTTACTCGATTCGCGCGTGATGTTGATTCTAAACGTGGAGGGAAAAAATCCAGAGAACCCGGAGAAAAACCCACGCAACCACGGAGAGAGACACCCCAAACTCCAAATATACAGCAGCAGGCGTCAGGGTCGCGATCGGAACCCACGACCTCCTGTACACCGGGCGAGGGAGTTAACATTTCGCGACAGTGGCGCCCACACACCACACAAAATAAACATTCTGCTGGCACAGATGGGCTTGTGTGGAGCCTGCGCACAGTCCCCAGCTGAGGACAGCATGACATGACCGTGATGTTGTCCATCACGCTTGAATTTCGCCACGGTCATCTTTCACGTCGCTTTAAAGCCTCTCTCTTCTTAACTTTACGCAACGCTTCAAAACTCGTGTCGGATTATCCCTGGATACACTACCAAGCTTGGGCATCTATGACCAAGACAAGAGCTTTTCTTTTTTAATTAAAATGTATACAGTACTGTATTATGTAACCAGTCACTGTCAATGATGTAATGTCGCAGTGGTCATAATAGCCGACTGCTTTCAACTATTATTAATGGGAATCTGCATTAAGCCAATTCGTATTTTATGACCGTACGTGTGTCTTCCTTATTTGGCCGTGATATTCGCGAGATGTAAGTGGGAACCATTCACATAAAATCCGCAGAAACTACAGCCAAAGGTGCATTGACTTGCTCTTTTTACAAAATCAACACTATCCTTACATACTTATTGTGGATGTCGGTGTGTTTGCACTGAGGCTCGTGTTTCCACAAATGAACTGTAGCAGAAATATGACAAGAATTATGGTTTGTTTCTAGACCTCAACTATTGCCATGTGACAGTTTTTGCAGAGAATATCTGCAATTTCTCTGATGCTTGGCTTGGCATGTGGACGATATATATTGGCAGTGGTAGTACAATACAATTGTGTAGTACTGTATAGCGGTGAATCCAATACATTGCCTCGTTGGTTCGATCATATTGCTCACAGTCGGAAGGTTGGAAGTCAGCAGTGGTCGTTATTTACTGGTCAATGCTATGGGAAGGTGGAGTTTCCACACCGTTGGCTCAGGGCTGGCAAAAAAGATGATTCTTCCGTCTCGATTTGAGTTTGTGCGGGGAGATCAACAATTAAGGTGCGGACTAACCAATTCTATTTTATGTACGTCGCCAACCGTACACTCATAAGAATTTACAGCCCTTTGTCAGTCCACTGCTGCAGGATGGCCTCCACCTGTTGTCGGTGATAGTTGATCAAACTTCAAACTAGTTCGTGTCTATTTGTGAGGGTGGGACAGCGCCGATGTTGGAGCGTAGTAAAGTACGACGGTGTACAGCATTCTGCTGCACTGCCCTCTGTGAGCCACGTGACACGGCAGCCTATCACAACCCCGGGTCTATCCGTTGTGGTTGCCCATCCAAGCCCCATCCAGGCTCCCGCCTACTTAGCTTCTGAGATCTGATGAGATTGGCCTCATTCTGGGTGATTTGGCTCCAACACAGTGAAGAGGAGTCGTAAAATGGTTTAAGCACTTCCTTATTTCACTAACGCACAGCAACACTCGTTCCAAGACTAACCTTGAACACACGTCCCACAGCCCCTTTTAACCCCTCAATCTCCCGTCCAGCGCATTGCCGCGTGTGTGATTGGTGCGTGTAGTCGTGAGAGCGGAGATGTCGTGTCTGCGTGGTGCGTGAGGGTGGCTCGCAGATCCCTTACAACAGTATCGGTGAACTTTACAGATTTCCATGTAATGGGGCCAAGTGCACAGATGGCACCGGCTGACAGGTGGCATACTTGTGGGTGCTAAAGGTCCACCTTCATAATAAAGACACTGCTTCTCTCCAGTGGGTTCTAATGACATTAATTCCGCTGATATCGTTTAGCCAGTGACCAATTCACTCGGGCTACTCCCCGAACTCGTCAGATCTCGCAAACACAGCAGGGTTGAGCCTGGATAGTGCTTGGATGAACACCACGTGTAACAGGTGTTATAGGATATGATGCATCACAGGCTACACAGTGGGCAGCAAAAATGGCAGGGCAGCAGAATAGATTATTGCACGGGACTTTTATGTCTCAAACGTAGCGCCTTCATTGACAGCATTTGCCCTGTGCGAGAGTGGCGCAATTACCGTGTGTACTCATGGTTTTTATTATTTAACAGAGGTACATTCAGCGGGCTATTGGACCACGATGAAAAGCGTGATTGATGCATGACCGTCAACCATGGCAAGGCCCTGCAGTGTGAGTGTACAGTGTTCCCCCCGAAAATCGCTGCTCTTGGCCGGTGCTCCAAGACAGAAGATTATAATTCAACAAAGAGCCTCTTGGCAGGATTCCTGCCAGAATTAATAGATATCCTGGCTTCCCTTGCACGTAAATATCAGAGCCAACCCAGCGCTTAAATCAGTACTGTTGAGCCAAAAGCCTGACTTGCTTTACACAAGCACTTTTGTTGCGTGTAAAATGCGTTTTTATCTCTAACTAGCTGTACTACCCGGCTTCGCCCGGGACTTGGATCCACCACGCCCGGCCGCCTTTGTCTCCTCAGTGGCGATGTTAATACGCCACACCAGTTACTCGTTTTGAGGCTGAGTCCCTCCCTCACCACTCTCCCTCCCTCACCACTCTCCCTCCCTCACCACTCTCCCTCCCTCACCACTCTCCCTCCCTCACCACTCTCCCTCCCTCACCACTCTCCCTCCCTCACCACTCTCCCTCCCTCACCACTCTCCCTCTCTCACCACTCTCCCTCCCTCACCACTCTCCCTCCCTCACCACTCTCTAGAGGACGTGAAACTTTGTTGAATTTACATCAGAGTCGCGTGTTGGGTGTCGAGGCCTAGCACCGTGCAGAGCCTCCGGCCTCACCTAAATTGGACACCCGGCTGAGGCTGGGTACGGGTGCCGTTCCCCCCCCCCCCCCGCGCTACAATAATACTGTCTAATCGCTATAATTTTATAATCTACCGACCCTATAATAGTAATTGCACACATTGTGGTGGGGGGGGGAGTGAAGAGGACGTGAAACTTTGATGAATTTACCTCAGAGTCGCGTGTTAATGCGTGCGCCTATTTTTAACGGGAATTAAAAATGGCGTCCACCCCGCGGCGAAGGCGTCTCTACCCATTGCCAGGGGCAACCGCCGTCCAATGAAACTGCATATGGTCCGGCGACACACAGACACACACACAGACAGACAGATTCGCGATTTTATATATATAGATTATTTTAGCAAGTACAGTGTGAAGAGAAGGAGCTGCCATGTGGCATAACGGTTAAGACGCTGGACTTGCAGTCCAGAGGTCACCAGTTTGATTTCCTCTTCCGGCTCGGCAGTTGAAACAATGGTACGAGTTTATTT